ACATTCCAGTCCGAAGGAGTTTAATTTTCTGTCAAATTGACATTTTCCAGTTGACCATCTGATATTTGAGAATTTGCAGGTTATGTGTTGTCTGGGTTAGTCCGGGTGCAATTTGAATGCAAAAAAATGAAAAATGCTGCTTGTTTTAGATAAGCGAAGCCTTAATAATAGCAGGCTGTAACTTTCGTCTCTCCTTGCCCTGGAAAATCTCCTAGACCAAATTCCAATTAAACTTTGGTATTAGGAAAAGTCTAACTTTTTATGTAAAAGGAATGGAACGAAAATGGGCCTTCCAACCCACAAAATATTGAGATTTTGTTGTTTCCAGAGGTCGCATAAAACTACAAAGAATTAATTTTAGCTCTGATATTGTCCAGAGGCAATGGCGGCAGAAGTAAAAGAGAATTGTGACGTCAACGGCCGACCAAAAACATAACCCTAAAAATCTTGAGCATATTAAAATGCTAAATTAGTTTATAAATCTCAGTAAATTTTCATTCTACAAGGGAATACAAGCCTTTATGCAATTTACTGAACGATACATTATTAATCCGCGTTAGAAACACCGAGATAAGTTAGCTGGGTGTTTACTTTCCCCTAGTTGCCCGGAAACGAATTAATCAATTACTTAATTTGATGATTAATTTCTAATACGTTCGTAATCGTAATAAATACCTAATCTTGCGATCATTACGCAAAATATATTGACATTAGCTATTAGACAACCGAGAAGCAACACCAGACTTCCACTTTTCAGTGGCGTACCATAGGTCCCAAAAGAGTCCTCCCTCTTTTTTCAAGTCGACTGCCATTTCAAATTCAGAATTTTATCAGATACTTAAATTTCACGACACTCTGCCACTCAAGGTCGGATCCATGGCTCCAGGCATGTGGCCCTCATTATTTAAAATTATACGGCGAATGACAAATTCATTTTCAAAAATTTTCAAATATTTTCGAGTATAAATAAATTTGGAAATCGACTTGGTGGTGTTGCTTGATATTTCTTGTTTATTAAATGTTCTTGACAGGTAACCGTGACTTTGATAAACATTAATACAGGGTGTTTTTTAATAGTTGTCTGATATTTCACAAGGCGATACTTCAAAAAGTTAACAAAAGAACATATAAACATCGGTTGTTTGAGGTACAAGTTTCACATGTAGGTCACGCCCCCTACAATGCAAGCTTAGAAACTTAGATTGCGTTTGAGGTTGTAATGTTAAAAAAAACTCCAAGCAGTTTGGTTAAAACAAACATGTGTCAAAAAATACGGAAGATACGGCTCTGTAAATGGGTACTGCGTAAGTTTTTTTAAAAAATTATTTCTGATTACTCCGTTTGATTTTACACCAAATTATAGTTTGGGCAAAATTTGGCAAATTTCGTTTAAATAAAATTAATAATTCGTGACGAGGCGCTGCATTTTATAAAAACTAGTCGTCGCTTGTTGGTTAGTCAGTCTAAAAGGTAAACCTTACAGCGCAGAAAGATAAATAAGTAAGGGATATAAATAAACGTTAATAATAATTAATATTATAATATTAGTTGTGTGTGTGCATAAATAGTAAGTTTGTTATTTTGAACGAAATAAATTTTCCGTTGTGGTAAGTTTTACGCGGCGTGACTTATTTGATTTCAGTCGCGTTCGTCGAACCAAACGATTTTTGTCAATTTAAAAACGTAACGATACTAATAAATATAGCAAAATGTTGGCGATCTGTGGTCGCACTACTTTGTTATTGCGAGACATTTGCTATAAATGGCTATTCTGCGTTACAGCTAAATATGATCATAAAATAAAAAACAGGAGAGGATATTTAAGAAACGAAGCTTATCCTGTGGGAATTAAATAGAACATAGGTGATTCGTATTCATGCAGGAGCGCTAAAGACAAAGGGGCGTGTTACGAACATAGCTAGGTTAACCGGTCGCTTTTGTGGTCACGAATATTGTGGAACCAAATATAAGGTTTTCAAAAAGTTTTACCTTTAGGATGTGTAAAGTACTATACGGTAGCTTTCTAAAATTACTTGCATACTATATAGGTTCTTCCAAAAGAGTTAAAAGTATCAAAGTTGTATTAAAAAATAAAATCCATTTCATATACAGCACCTTCCAATAACGTTTAACTAAACCCTTAAGGTATTTTAATTACTGAATTTTGTCAAAGTCTAACCTAATTTTAATTTATCAAATACACAAGAAGTACTTAATGTATATAAACGAAATCTACAGTATGGACCATATTGTATACCTCAATTATAAAGATTTTACACAGGGTGGCGAAAAAGTTGTAATAATTTAAACAAAGCGACTATAACTTCACGTATTGGATGGTGTTAGGGTGTCCCCATAGCTACCTCATCATAGTTTCGCCAAAATATAATTTTTGGTGATATTTACATAAACGTTTTATTACATCTAGTATAGTATATAGAAATGGATCAAAAAAATTCTCATTTTCCGACACCAATGTGAAATATTCAATTCAAAATCATTTCCATAAAGTTCTTAACAAAGCTTTATTTTATAAGCGTCATTTAGAAATTATTGAAAAACTTGTCTGACTAATGTTTGTCTTTCCAGATATCTGATTTTTACTAATATTTGGATTTTCCACAACTAAACCAACTACCACAAATTTTTAAAACAAACACTTCCACTTTCCTTAAACCGGTTTAATATTCTCTGAAAAACGTCTATATTGGGGTGATTACTTTCAGGAAACCTTTGGGCGTAAACTCGAGAAGTATGATGGCTTCTCCTAAATCATATTAATACTTATTTTAAGTACAACCATACAGCAATTATAAGAAGTAATAACCCCGTGGCGAAATGAGACAAAACTGACAGTTTAAATTAATTATCTGACAATTCCAAATTCGATAAAATTTTTATTTAGAATTTATATCTGATTTATACCTGATCGACCTGTTAACAATTTTGTTTTTATTGTTAGAAGACTTTTGTGGCTTTCGTTGCAAAATAGTGGCAAATCGCTTGTGCAATGGCTGGTAAGTACTTTTCTCAATATATAATACTTGCATACGTATTGCACAATCTCCATAAAATCTATTTATTGTCATTACCTTCGATTTTATGAGATTTGTTAGGAGCGGTTTTGCTGTCTAACCTCTAGGATTAGTAGGAAATATTTTTTCAGAAAACAAGCGTTGCAATATTGAAAGCATGACCAATAAAGAACTTTATCGTTAGATTGAGGAAATAGCATCTGCTCCTCAATCGAACATAGACCCCGACTCGGAAATGGACGATGAAAATGTAGACCAGAATCTTCCATTATTTAGCAATAGCATCAACAAGTTTCCAAAATTCACAAAATATTCTGGTCTCAAAAATATTCCCACAGATGTTGAAACACGATTGATGTATTTATCCATCTCTTCCCTTCCGAACTTAACGTAGCGAAGAAATTCGGGATTTTCATACAGCGAATATTATGCCAAGAAATAGGTTTGCATGGCTTTTGAATAATAATGAAAAAACGACCAAAGGAAGGTAAAGATGAGTAAGTCAAACTATATAAAGTTTGTCCTTTCCTTGACACACTCCGGAAAACCTATCAAACTCCGGAAAACCTATCAAACCTAATACGATTCAGATGAGCATCAGTCGCTACATGAATCCATCATTAAATTCAAGGGTCGCTAAGCCAGTACATGCCGCAAAAGCGTAGAAAACGCGCGTAGAAAGTACTTACAAATAAATCTGGTTATCTTTTTGATTTTCAGATATATACCGGTAAAGTCAATACTACAGAATGGAACGAAGAATGATGTAACCTGTCCAATACTCGTAAGGCATTATAACAACCATATGGATATCATCTGCTCACCAAGTGCCCTGCTTTGACATGGGTAAGATTTGGAGTCTTCGAAATCCCTGATCGATCCGGACTCAGTGCACCGTATTGGACTAAAGGAGTTCCTCACTTTCTATAGCAGGGGCGGCATTCTGGACGCCCTCGAGTGCGGTCTGGGGTCACAACGGTCCCATCTGGTGGCCTATCAATACCAATGGGATATATCGACAAATCCGATATGTTGATATCCATTTAAGAATAGAAAAAGCAAACACTGAAGGCTCTGTATATCTTGTCACGGTTGTGAACTCCTTCATTCCATTCTCTATGAGAAGTGAAGGGAAATCGCCGAAATTGATAGAATTTCGTACTGCTATCACAAGAAGTCTTATAGGATTGCAGAAACGAGAAAAACGCGTTGTTCCACCAGAGATACGTTTTGATATGCAAATTCAATATGGAAATTCCTTGCGTTGTGCTGTAAGCAGCGCTGAACCACACCGTACAAAGTGAGTGACAAAAAAAATTGTTTATTTGTAATTCAAAAGGACATTCCCTGATAAGTTAAAAGATATGGTGTTCTGATTGCAATTATAGCCACTTAAACTTGTTATTCGATTAGGATACATTTTTGGCGATCCTGTAGAACATGGGAAGTTATACTCTACTGTAAATTTCACTGACATAACTTAAATACTTTTTGTCTTCCCACAACACTCTAATTATTTAAAAACCTTAAGATTTACGTATCACAAAAGGTTATTGAAACACACTTATTTTGGTCATACAGTCTAAAAATGCTTATAAAGAGGGTCGCATTTCGAAAATTTTAACCCCTTTAAAACAACCTGAATAGTATGAAAGTAATTTTAAAAAGTAAAAAATAATAGAACTTCACATATTCTAGCAGAAAAACTTTTCGAAAATCTTTTATTTTGGCCACAATTCACCACAGCTTGAATGAACCTGTATAAACATGTTTAGTAATTCAACCATTCCAAAAACGTTTTCCAAACTTTTTATGATGCACACCTCACCCTCGCGAGTTTACCAATATCCAAAGGAGTGTATCAGCGTAAAAAACCTTAATTTCGTTCCAACACCGTTTAATCAGGATCTGCGGGGGGTAACATGCACCGCTCCACCAAATATTTACAAACGGGATAATACATACACGTGGGTCACGCGGCAACCCCCTTCCCCTTTCCCAACGCGTTCAACCTCCTCCTGTGCTTCTGGGATCTGAGATGCCCCCGCCACTGGTGCTCGCCGATGAACACCCGCTCGCACGCCTCGCAGAAATGGGTCTCGTCCTCGCTATTGGGCGTCGAGCCCAACTCGCGCACCGGAAGAGGCTCGCGAACGCACTTTACACCCGCGATATAACTTTCCACGATTTCGAAAGCCGGCACCGTGACGTTTTCGTTCCATTTTGACACGTCCGTCGAGTCAAGCTCGTAAACCGGCGGCACCTGAAACAAAAGTTTACGGAATCACATATAAAGTTGCCTGATTCTCCGTAAATCTGTTGTCCGATTGGCTTTGGTCTGTTTTTATAGACAGGTACACGGGATATTACGTATTAATGAATATCGACCGAAACCGAAATTCTTTTTTTTTTATATAAAAAGGGAAATATTTCGAATATGTATTTAGAATTCGTTATTATCAAACTAATTGTTGACAGGATTACATGAGTCACTTTTGACTCAATGAAAAATAAATATTAGTAAACCATTCTTATATAGGACTTTTATTTGACTGCGATTTAGTTTGGTTTGCTCTACAAAACTAAACTCCAAACATTGTATATAATGAATGATATGAAATAATTGAAAACAAGACTTTTACAAGAATGGTAGGAAGGAGCGTATTGAAATATTTTTGGACCGCGGAACCAAATCTATTTTTATGGACATATTCTTTCTAAAAAATATTTTTAACAGTTTTACATAAAAAAGTGCACTTCCTTAAGTACAAAAAGTAATTTTGATATGTGGGAGCAAATTATCTCAAAGAATAATTTTTGTTTCAGAAGCAACTATATTGTAAATTTTGAACTTAAATTTTGTAAGCATTTAGTTTTATGACTTAATCTAAAGCATTTGTGATCTTAATTTCGTTTAGGTACGTTGAACTGAAGATATTGAAGAAATAATAAAAAATGTAATTCTTATAATATTCCATGTATCCTCGAAATTTAGGTTTTTTTTTATGCACGTTGTATAAATAACTCAAGAAAGACATTAATCCCCAGTTTAAATGGAGTCCACTTTCAACTGCAGAGCCCAATTCGGCTGATATTTAAGAAACACATCCTAAACTCTTAAAAACCTTGTAAAAACCAAAATCGGCCATTGCTCGAAAACAAAATAAAAAATACACTTGTATATATCGTGTCATTATCCTAATCGTATATTTTTTGGTTTACAAAATAAAAGTTGTGGCCCCACCTATTTGCATCTATGCTAAATAAAGACATTTACTATGAGAATGGAATAAAGTAAAATCCTTCTGATAAGGAATAAACCTTTTTTTTTATAATAGTTTAATACTTTCATAATATTTCGAAATTCTTTGTAATTTTCAAAGAAATATTAGAACTTTAATCTCAGGGATCAAACTAGATAAGTTTTAATAATTTTTGGACATTTTTTCCCAATAAACTGCACTCTTTTCAAAACCAACAAAACAATTATTAATTTCTGTAAATAAATATATTCACTACTACTAAATATCCCAATAGCAATTTTATCTTTTTGAGAGTTAAACATGTTCTAACCTGTCTATCTTTTCTTCCCAAAAAACGGTTTCTGACCCATCTTTTTTGCTTCTTTGCATAACGCCTTGTCACCATCTTAAGCTGCTGAACCCCTTGTTCCAGTTGCTTTTGACCCTCAGGAGTCTGTCGTTCATCTTCCTTCAACATCAAGTAGGTATGAAACTCTTTGAATCCAATTGACTGGAATATTCCTTTTGTATAGTCCATTTCCTCGCCCGTCTTAAGCCTGTGCTCATTAAAAATCTTATGGAAACTGAGTAACTCGTCTAAAAGTCCATTCTTCAACATGGCATCAACCCGATCATCCAACCTTTTATCCAAAGTCTCCTAAAAAGGGCTGCTATATTAATACATTCAACCAAAAAAAGTCAATACCAAACCTGATCACAATTCACCCATAACACTATAGCATTGGAATATCTCAAACCACCGCCAGATTTGGAACCCCCAAATGACGACTTTTGTTCATCATAGAGTTCGCTTAATTTTTTTCCCTTTTGGTAATAAACTTCAAGAGCCCTAAAACCGAGACATTAGTTATTTTACAATTTCTTATATTTTGTTAGGCTACCTAATAATTTTTCGTTTGTTGTTTGGATGCAATCTCTTGGCCATACTGGGGTCCAAAGATTTCAGCTTTTTGTGCAACTCTTCGCTAGGCATTTCATGGTCATTGTTGGGTAAAACTCCAGGTTGATCATGTTTCTTAGCATTCTCGCTCTCCACTAGAATTTTCCAAAGTAGTGCTTCAATGTAATAATTAGTCCCTCCAACCACAACAGGCAATTTATTTTCATTTAAAAGCTCATCAATTAATTTGAGTACATTGTTGCGATACTCAACCACTGTACAAGTTTCGTGGGGCTCCAAAACATCAATCATGTGGTGTGGTGCAATAAGCTGTTCATCTTTGGTAGCCTTTGCAGTTATTATGTCCAAACCTTTGTATATCTTCCATAAAAAAAATATTCTTAGTCTACTAATACATATACTTTTTGTGCGCAATTTAAGTTAATGTTGAATACTCTGTAACCCCTCTGATAAGAATATTACCTGCATAGAATCAGCCCCAATTACTTCCCCTCCAAATTTTTTTGCCAATTCCAATGACAATTTGGTCTTCCCCGATCCGGTGGACCCCAAAATCACAACCAAAGGTAATCTACTTCCCATTGTAATCAATCTCTTTGTTGCGTAATATAGATATTTAACCTGAGAACAAAGCACATGTTCGAATTTATTGACTTATGTTTGGTACCGCAACAAATAAGTACGCAAATATTTATAGAAAACATTTTTTTCCAATATAGTAAAACAACACTACACTCACCAAAGCCAAAAGTTAACAAATATGTACTTACAGGTTTTCAAAAATATTTTTGAAATTCAGCTGATATCCAAGACAAAGAAAATCGAGAAATGAGAAAGATAAGCAAACTTCTTCGCCTTTTACTAAATATCCAAATGTTAGAAGGCCAGTTATATATCCCCAAATGATTATAATATTTTGACGAATTGAAGAAGAAATGCATGTAATCGTTGTTTTGGCGCAATGATTCTGGTACGTTTGCCCAATTACACTTTTTTTTGTAATAAATCATTTACAATGATTTAATTCGGAATTTGCTATATTTTCTATGTCTGTTTTCATTTTTAGATATATAATGTACTCTAGGAGTTCGTTATTGAATAGGCGATTTCAGTCAGGTCCCCTCTCTTGCGCACTGAAAATAAAATCATTGTAATGTGGCCATAACCTCACATATTTTGATTAAAAAGTATTTTTAAGAGGAAAATGTGAAAATATGTTAAATTAAATAAGTTTAAAAACTAGATATGAAACAAAACGCTACAAAATGCTTCCAAGTAAACAATGCCAAATATATTTTAAACCGCTTAAAAGGTGATACTCAGCATTCGCTGGGCCATTTTGACTATGATTTACGTAATTACAGACTGTTATCTAGTTCAAATTTTAATACATCTATTAATGCTTCTTCGGAACATGCGAAAGTGGTTATATGCGGGGGAGGCGTTATGGGTGCTTCTGTCGCCTATCATCTTGGCAAACTAGGTTGGGGCTCAGAGACCATACTTATAGAGCAAAATAGGGTTGGTGGTGGAACTACTTGGCATGCTTCAGGCTTGGTTGGGGTTTTTAAACCCACCATGACTCAAGTTCAACTCACAAAATCAAGTGTGGCCCTATACAAAGAGTTGGAGGGGCGAGGGCTACCTACAGGTTGGAAACAGTGTGGCAGTTTAAACGTAGCTCGCACGAGAGATAGATTTGTGGTTTTTCGCCGAATGAAAGCTCAATCAGTGTACGAATTCCTTTATGCTGCAACAAATATTGACTGCTAGATTTGTTTTATTGTAGCGCGTGGAAAATTGAATGTGAATTACTGACTCCTGACCAATGTAAGCAAAAGTGTCCTTTATTGAAAGTCGATGATCTTTACGGTGGGTTGTGGATCCCTGGGGATGGCGTAGGAGATGCTTACCAAACCTGTTTGACTTTGGTGAATGAAGCAAAAAATATGGGTCAGTTTATTTAATAAATTGGGCTGATTTGCCATAACTTCCAATTTCTAGGTGTAAAAGTTATAGAAAATTCTACAGTTAAAAAGGTTGTTCAAACCCAGGGTAAAGTATCTAGTGTGGAAACCAACTTAGGGTCAATTAATTGTGAATATTTTGTTAACTGCGGTGGGTTTTGGGCCAGGGGAATTGGCCAAATGTCGGAGCCTAATATTAAGGTTCCGCTTCATGCCGTCGAGCATTATTATTTGCATACAAAACCTATTCCTGGATTAGATCCTCACACGCCAGGTTAAAAACCATTAAAAAAAAACGTCGTCAAGGTGACTTTGCATTTGTTGTGATTTTAGTTGTACGCGACCAGGATGGTCACATTTATTTTAGAGAAAACAATGGACGACTATTGGCTGGCGGTTTCGAACCAGTCGCCAAACCCGCTTTCGAAGATGGAAAAATTCCTGGTAATTTCAATTTGGAATATTTGTTATTAGCCAGTAGTATAATTCTTTCGAAAATTCAAAAATAATAACAAAATAGACATGTCAAATAACAAAAATTCTGACAGAGCTGGATTTTGGTGCAGTCCTTGGGTACGTCAGTAGAAACAAAGGGCCCAAAAGTTCCTAGCACGTGTGCTAAAAAAGTTATTGAACTTGAAAGGTTAAAATTTTTGTTTCTTCCTTTTCTTAAGAATGCCCATTTGTCCCTTCTAAAAATTGGAGTTACATTCTACATTATATGCACAAATCTCTCAAAATGCTTATTTGTGTCTGTTATAGGTATGAACTGTAATTCAAAGGCACTCAAAAGAAACTGAGTCTCTTAGTCAATCCCTTGATCAACATGTGTCTAGTTATTGTCAACTTGGCAACACTCATAATAATCTCAATATCTGTATCAATAGTCACAATGTATTTGCCGTAAAACTTTGCCATCAGATCTTGGACTAGGCCTACTGCAGAAACCACGTTAAAAAGAACGCGTCAAATATTCTACGTTACACAATAATAATTCCGCGGTAAAATGTATAACTACGATATTTGTAAACAATTTTATTGTCCACAATTTAGGTCGGAGAAAAATCCAAAAAAAAAAACGAAAATTTTGTTTTTGTATCTTAAATTACACTTTTAGCACTTATGGGATTGATGCGGAATTTTAGGGCTTTATTTCTACTGGTTTACCCAAATTCTTCACCAAGATGCTCTGTCGGAATTTTGAATTTCAAATTGATAACATCTTACTTACGCATTATTGTTTACTAAGATATACAGGATCGCTCTATTTCGTTACTTCGTTTTCTTAGGATTAGCAACTTTCAACATATAAGGACGGAATCCGGTACTTTTTAAAACTATTATTTTTCGTCTGATTCAAAAATTCCTTAGCTGACATAACATGCATAACTTTTTTACCTAAGATACACAAGATCAGCAAATTAAGCAAGTGTAGCAACTTACTTTACATATAACTTTGAATAAATATACAAATTTATAGATATAGATGCAGGGTAATATGAATATGTCAATCGAAGAAATTCGACCAATGAAAAACATTTAATATTGCCTTTAAGCAAACAGCAAAGAAAGAGAATTACCAGAAGATTGGGACCATTTTCATGTGCTCCTTGAACAACTTCTGCATAGGATTCCCAGTTTGGGAACAGCCGTGTTGGACAGATTATGTAATGGTCCTGAAGCGTTTAGTCCGGATTGCAAGTGGATTGTGGGCGAAGCGCCGGAGGTGAAGTCGTTCACAATAAATAAATTATATTTTATGGAAATAGATCGTGGTTGGTTTCAGATCAGGAATTATTTGATCGCTGCGGGCATGAAAACTATCGGTATTTCTGCTGCTGGCGGGGTGGGAAAAGCGACCGCTGAACTAATCGTCAACGGCGAGACTGACTACGATATGTACGAGCTGGAAGTGTCCAGATTTTTGGGACTGCACAACAACAGGAAGTTTTTAAGGGACCGCGTGAAAGAAGGTAAATTATCAAGGTCATTCTTAGCGATTCGTGAATAGCGGTTGTCGCAGTGCCCGGCCTTCATTACGGGATAAATTACCCATTTTTCGAATTCCAATCGGGTAGGAACCTACGTATGTCGCCCGTTTATCCTAAGCTCCTGGAAGCGGGCGCAGTGTTTGGGCAAGTTATGGGTTATGAACGACCTTCGTGGTTTGACCCTATTGAGAAAGGTGCCCCGGCCTTTGAGTTTAATCCAGTTTAGTACATAATCGATTGTTTTAGAAGACGAGGAGTTGGACTTCATGCCTTACAGAATAGCGCACACAAATACATTCGGTAAGCCTCCTTGGTTTGATTTTGTAGCCAAGGAGTACGCTGCATGTAGAGAGGGTGTCGGAATCAGCGATTATTCATCATTCACAAAAGTAGATCTTTGGGTAAGATTTGAAACTTAGCAACAGTGAGATAGAATAACCTTCGCGGTTGTAGTCTAAAGGCACCGAAGTAGTCGATTCCCTACAGTACATTTGTTCAAATGACGTAGATGTACCAGTTGGTAGCATTATACACACGGGTATGCAAAATCATAGGGGTGGATATGAAAATGATTGCTCTCTTGCTAGACTAGCTGAGAATCAGTAAGTTACTACTACTTTACTGCTTTTACTTATAGCTGGAAAGCGACTTTTACTGATGAGTCTCTCTGATTTTTTAGTTCTTGCTCACTTTGTTTTTCCCGTGTTCTTTCACGCGTCGACTCTGTCGGTGATAACAGTAGATTTTTCTGATTATTTTTTCAGAGCGTTTGTTTGTAGTTGGTAAGGTAAAACTTTGTATAATTGTTTTTGAAGATTTGATTGATTTCCGCGAAGTTTCTCTGTCTTTTAGGGTTCCTAGATCGAAGATTTCTAATCTTTTATCACAAGAGACTTCTGTATCTTTATTAGGGTGCATTTCCTTGTAGTTCTTCCTAGAATGTTGGATGAACTAGGGGTTCCATATTGTGTGATAGTTTTGGTCTATAGAAAGACACAGTAAGTTCTCATTATTATTGTTTGTAAAGGTTTCTGAGAGTTGGCCTTTTTTCCTTCTGTTTCGTAAGGTTGGTAGATTTTTTATCTATCTACACAAAAGACTTAATTAAGGATCTTTTTGAGTTATTTCTATCAGTTTCACCTCTTTAATGTTTTCGGCAAAACATTCAAATGATTGTTTTACTAATAATTTACAAAAGGGGTTCGCACAGTTAGACAGACATAGAGTAACGCCCCAGCCTAAAAAATCTATCTATACCACTTCTATTTCATTGGGCAGCAACTGAATTGAAGATTTGAAATGTCGATGGAAAATTTAATTGAAATTATAAATTTCAGTTATATGATGATTGCTCCCACAATCCAGCAAACTAGGTGCAAAGTTTGGTTACAGAAACACCTGCCGCCGACTGTCGCGATGTCCGATGTCACTAGTATGTTTACCGCATTGTGTATTATGGGTCCCTTTACCCGGACTTTGCTATCAGAACTAACAGATACCGACCTAAAGCCCAGAAATTTCCCCTTCTTTACGTTTAAAATGTTGGATATCGGTCTTGCTAACGGTATAAGGACCATGAATTTGACACACACCGGCGAGTTGGGTTACGTGCTTTATATTCCCAACGAGTTTGCCTTGCACGTGTATTCCAACATAATAAGCGCTGGGGAGAAATACGGTATAAAACACGCGGGATACTACGCCACCAGGGCGCTAAGAGTTGAGAAATTTTACGCGTTTTGGGGGCAGGATTTGGACACTACGACGACTCCACTAGAGTGCGGTAGGGTATGGCGCGTTAAATTCGACGTAAGCCCCTCAAACTGATACGGTTAGCAGGAAATCAGTGACCTAATTTTAGAAAGAAATTAATTTCATCGGCCGTGACGCCTTGCTTAAACAAAGGGAGGAGGGCGTTAAGAGAACGTACATTCAACTGATTTTGGACGACCACGATTGCGAAACTGACCTGTGGCCTTGGGGCGGAGAGCCGATCTACAGAAATGGCGAACAGGTTGGCATGTGTACCACCACCGGTTATGGATTTACGTTCAAAAAGCAGGTAAAGTGTGTTTGAGATAAGTAATTTTCCGATTTTTCTTGTTTGCATCGATAATATCATTTTGGTATGAAATGAGTATTCTTTTGAATATTTTGGAATAATCCTCGAACTGTGCCAAGTCGCGTGGCGTCATGGCGTATTATTTTCGGTTAGAGGCATCAACTGATTTCGGAACTCACTGCTTGCGCGTTTTATTATTTAAGCCAGTAAAAAAAAAAAAACAAATCAAAAAACTCTCCCTTGGTGTATAGACAGCCTAAACGTCCTACACGAATTTTACTCTTTGCTTATGCTTATGACCTGTAGCTATGTTTCATTTTATGATGACACTTTGCTTTAGGTTTGTTTGGGATTCGTCGAAAATATAGACAAAAACGGTGAACGGCAAAAAGTAACCCACGATTTTATTACTAGCGGAGATTTTGAGGTCGACATCGCCGGAATTAAGTAAGGGTTGCGAAATAATATCGCGCTTAGGATTTACACCAAACTTGTTTAGATATCATGCTAAAGCCAATTTGCATTCTCCCATTCTACCAACGAAATATCCTGATGTCGAGCGCGACGTTTATCGGGCTACCCGAGGAAAAACAGATGAAAAGGGAAATTCGAATGAAGTAGTGAAAGCCATCTAATCCGTTACCTAATCCTGACAAAAGCAGCTATTATGCAATTGTGATTTCTTAGATTTAGTTTGACAACAGGAAAGTGTAAAATTATCAATTGTGATAAGCTTACGTCTGCTCTTATTTGAATCAATAAACTTGTGTGAGTGTATTCTTACAAAACATTGAAAGGCGGATTAAACAGTTTCAAACAATAGACCAAGAGTAAAAATTACTGAGCTAAATTATTTTATTATGATCCCTCTATAACTTACACTCCTGCTAACCAAGGACCTCATCTTACCTGCTGGACTGCAAGGCCGTTCATTTTGTCTGTCCTTTTAATAGAAGTAGTTTCAAATTAATACATTACATTTCTGCTGAAGGTCTGAAACAGACTTTTGGCAATCTTCAAATCGGAACATCGGTGGACACGGCCTAGAGATAAACAATTATAATTGGTTTATCCAGAGGCTTCCCACTATTTTGACGATAGAATATGTTGTACATGTGAAGGGGCTAAAATGGTTCTATCGTCAAAATTGTTTACCTGGTAAAACTTTTTTTCGTGACCACTTCTTTTTGAAAAGGCCCTGCTACTGGTACTAAGAAAACAAAATACGTATACACACACTTCTGGGGTTAAACTTTTAAGGGAAATAAAAAAGATTTTTCCACAGAATACTTCAAATTTAGTGGTCTGTGATATGTTAAATCTTTTCTACTTTATTATTGGCCCAGCTACCAGATCCTGTATTACTTGTCGCATTTAAGAATTACTGTGGTCCGCCACGTAAGAAAGTGTATCCGTGGTCTGTGGACGAACATTAAATTTCAGTATGAAAACAAATTAAAAAGCAAAACAAATACGTAAAAGTATAGAGGTTTTTTTTCATAAATATAGCAAAATGGCTCGTCACAGAGACATCCGAAACATGGATTTTTCCGACGGTACTCAATGAAAATGTGTCTTGTTTAATAGGGCAGATTTAGATATGATACACATTTTAGAATATGATGGATATGATGATGTATATGGTCATTCTGTTGACGATGACTACTACATTTCGCCCAGCAATACACAATTTATGTACAATCGGGAAATGAGTCGAGATTCAACAAAATTTGAACAAACCGAGGACAACATTAAAGAAGCCGATGAAGTTGAAGAATTATCGGATGTAGATAAATCAAAACTAGAGTCTAGCATAGAATTAATCGAATCGACACTTTGCTCAGTAAATATATCGCGAAATGAACTAATACATCTCATTCTTAAGTATAAGTTTAACACAGAACTTGTGTTGAATGAGATTTTGGAAGGTCAAAAGTACCACGCTGTTACTACTGAAGGACCTGACAAAGGTGAGGTGTTCATTACTAATAATCTGCAATATGTCTAACTTTAATTTCTTTTTCATGGTCCTTCATTGGTTGTTTTGTTGTAAGGTAAGATGTCGCAATGCACAAATCTCCAAAATTTATTATTCCAAATGTCTTTGGAAATTCTCAATCAAATGGTATCAGTACTTTTAATGGAGTAAATTCTGGATTGGTATCAACATTTATTATTCCAAAACTTTCATTCGAAAAATCTAATGAGAAATTGACAAAGAACAATTTTGTGGTACCTGATATCTTTTTCCAAAAACAGTCATTGGAAAAACGTAGTTCAGATGAACCAAAGAAAGAATTTAATAATCTGTCAGAATTAGTTTCCAGTCACTTGAAAATTTCATTGGCTCCTTCTAATATTGAGAATATTTCTAATGATTTAAATTTAATAAAAATATCAGACAGTACTGAAAAAGACAAAACTAACGATTTTAATATAGATTTATCAATTGCCCTGACTAAAACAACCAGTTCTACTGGTGTTCTAAAACCCATCAATGAACAAAATGACTTTGAAATTCCTTTTATCGATTGCGAAATGATGCCACAACCCAACCTTGGTAAACCCAAAGTTTTACCTTGCATATTGGACATTTCAAAAGCTTTAAACCCGACTGCCCACTTGTTGAAAAAGCGATCCCAATTCGGACAGGTGCTTTGTAGAAATTATAAAAATGTAAACAAAACATGTATATTATTGTTTGAATGTGAACCCAGTTATTCGAGCAAAGTAAAGAGGTTCCGGTTCGATACCGATTCCCCTGATGATTTCATAAAATGTCACCTCAAACGGTAGAATTGCATGAATAACCTTTTTAGTTAAATGTAATCGATTTTAAGTTTTTTACTAAATTAAAAAATATATTTCTTAGTGATCTCCTATTCAATCATTTAAAAAAAGTGTTTGCTGCTATTACATGACCAAAAATGACCCCATATTAAAAATTATAAAGCAACTGTAACATCGCGGGGATTTGTTTTAAATGGGTACCGCTGCAGTGACGTCACCTGTCCCATTCGAAACAGTTTCATTATTGCGTTATTTTTATTTCAGCGTAATAGAGTTTAGCATTTGATGATGTTATTCTGACTTTTAATGCAAAAAACAAAATTTAAACCAAATCAAAAAGGCAATAATGACATAAAATCAGGAAAAATCATTCAATCCAAGTATATTTTTAAAATACATCTATTGATGCCAAAAAAAATGTTTTTATATTAAGTTGAGAGAAAAATAAAGGAAAGTAAACATATGGTCATTGCAGTGTCCTTTATGCAATTTGTCGCCCCTTTAAGTCAAACTGGCCTTTCAATCTTTTCAGAGTAACCGTTCCCTGTTATAAATTTATGTATTATTAATTTCAATAATATGTCTCGTTTGGATTCGATTGGATTTTGGTTACAATGCCGTTGATGGCCAACCTAGTCGAACTTTGTAACGTTATACAAATTTTATAAATAGTTTTTAATTTGAACGCAAACATGAATCAAATCTATAATAGGACAAAATTTATTTGCACTAAAAAGCAGTCGTGGCTTTCGCTCCACCGCCGACGATAGTCGAATCTACGGTGCCCCCCAAAGTCAAGATCGTGGACGCGGCATCCAAAAGCGCCGTAAATATCGTCAAGGGTTTTGATGTACCCTCAAAAGAAAAAGTAAGCGTCACCCCCAGGTCTCAATCTCCCGCTTCTGGTAGGGACACCCCCGTTTGGCCCCTGGTAGAAGGTGTTTTGGACGAGTCGAAAGGTAACTTGCCATCTTGTGATGTGATTTATATAATACTTATTATGCCTACAGAGTGACGCAATAATGTGACTAAGTACAATATCTGCCCTATTTAGCACAATTTCGAAAAGTGGACCTTGAAATAATCAAATGAGTTACATTAAGGACGAGGTATTTTTGTAAATGATTAATAAAACTGAATATTATCGAGAAACTTCAAATAATAGTTATAGGGAAACCTTAAAAAAAAGTGGTAAAGCGGCATTAGCTGAAAAACGATAAAGTAGATTTCAAAAATAGATTAAAGGTCGTAAAATTTACAAAACACTGGAAACCCTCTGTAGGAAACTACTTGCTTTACTGAGCTCTTAGTAATACATTTAACTATTTCTGACAATATAAAGAGTGCGAAAGGATAGATATAAGAGGGAATAGGAAAGAATATTTGTTGAAATATTTTCTATTTTTTTCAACAATTGTGCTGCCATATAAACATTTCTTAGAGGAATCATTATATGCGAATATATAAGGAATATATTACTTTGTCACATTTTTGCGGCGCCTTGTATATGGAATATATATTACACTAAATGTACGTTGCTTAGAGTTGCCTTAATTATAGAAGTTTCGCGTATTGTCAGAAATCTTTGAAAAAAATCATTTAAGTGTAGGCTTAATTCAACAATAATCCATAACGGTGCATCAAAATTTTGAGGCTATAAGTGAATAGGAGTGCTGGTTAATGTAGCTAGAGCAGGAAATCAATGTAAAACAATAATGGAATGTTTTCCACGTTCCAAAAAGATTAGAATTATAATAAAGGCTTTCATGTATTACGACCATACTCACGAACTCGCCCTTCATGTTGTTTAACAATTAAATTTTATAACGGGCTAGGGAACATCGGCTTTCCCTTGCTAACTAGAGAAACATAGTGCCAACATTGTTAATTGAATGGTCTTTTCATTAACTTAACTTTCATTTCATTCTAGTCGTCCCTCAACAGAATCGGCCTCTTAGAAGTAAAATAATTTCAGGAGAACGAAAGTAACTCTTAGGAACGAAAGTTCAAAGAAAAAATACCGAAGGCGCTGTCAGGGATCTTAATACAGAGACATATTAGCGTTAAAAGAAGTTTTCAACAAGCTAAGCAAATCGCGATATAATAATTCCTTTACCAAAATGTTTCCTCTAAATTCCTTTTTGTACTCAAATTGATTGACACGTTCTCTAAGATAAGCCAGATTAAAGTCTGCATTTACCAAGCCAATATGACTCGCATTTCGTCGGGGTCGGTGATTATTAAACAATTCTATGTGGTTGCAGAACCTTAAAAGTCTTAAAAAAGGTGGAATTAGTGCTCTTGCCCTTTAATTTAAAATCTCAGACTTTACTTAGGTGTGTTGTTAGGTATCAACTAATGTAACTTAAGGACCGCTTTAGTAGTAGTAGTAGTAGTAGTAGTAGTAGAAAAAATGTTTCTAATAAGCGAAACTATTGCTCGTAGTGAGTCGCAAGGAGCCCAAAATCGATCCATTGGAACAGTACAAAAGGGAACGCGGCACGGACAAAGATCACCTTTATATGGTCGTGATTGGACACGTGGATGCCGGCAAGAGTACCCTAATGGGTCGAATGTTGTGCGACTTGGGCCAGGTCAACAAAAAAGTTATGCACAAGTATGAACAGGAGAGCAAAAAGCTCGGCAAGCAGAGTTTCATGTACGCCTGGGTGCTGGACGAAACTGGCGAGGAGCGAAATAGGGGCATAACGATGGACGTGGGTCGTTATCGGTTTGAAACGAAACACAAGGGCGTGACCTTGCTGGACGCTCCCGGCCACAAGGACTTTATTCCCAATATGATTTCCGGTGCGGGTCAGGCCGATGTGGCGCTGTTGGTAATAGATGCGACTAGAGGCGAATTTGAATCCGGTTTTGACTTAGGGGGCCAAACTAGGGAACACGCATTGTTGGTCAGATCGTTGGGAGTTACTCAGCTCGCCGTCGTCATTAATAAGTTGGACACGGTCTCGTGGTCGAAGGAACGGTAAGTTTGTTGCACGATATAGCGGCACTTAAAACCGCTGTTCGCACCCGTTTCGGGAGTCCAGAAGGTATATTCAAACTATACGTTACGGAATGGTTGTCAATAAGTTTTACATTTGAGATATGTGCGCATATCTAATAACTACGAAACTGAGCATTTTGAGTGTTGTATTATAGTTTGAATAAAGCTTTGAATTTAGTTGTTTGCTCTAAGAATTTTTAAATTCTTATTGGCAAATTTCAGTAAATTCGATCCTTTGTGACTAGGAAAACTTTCATGACGTTGAATAAAATCCACAGTTTTAAAAAAGTAACCGGAGCATTGCCCCTTGGGCATTTAGGGTTTCTGTAATCCTCTGAAAGTACCGAAAAAACAAAAAAGTAAATAATTCAGGCATCAACACTGCTACGCAGAGATCACATAAAAAGTTCATAAAACCGACGCACGAAATACACAATTTTTCTAACCACACATCATGTCTAACTGCACAAATGGATCGGCCGACAATAAAAGGCACTGTGTACGGATTCTACTTTCCAACTACAGCAAGGAAGACGAAATTTTCTATTCTAATAAGAAATTTAAGTGGTTTTAACTTGATTAATTTAAATGGAGTATCATAGCGCAAGACAGCAGAAGACACCTGACCAATGAAAGGTTTTTTTATAATTGGCAAATGAACTGTGGTTTACTGTTTACTTTACTACAACTTTTGCAACATTTTGACAAAATTCAAATTATTAAGAAAACCCATAAACATTTAGGCTTATTGAAACAAGCATTGGGCCTAGAATGCTATAATGTATAGAGAATCCATTAAAAAAAAACAAGTTTCATACATTTAGGACTTTTGTAATAATCTGTATTAATATGAAAGTAACCAATATAATAGAACCCTACATATCTCAAAAGTAAAACTGTTTGAATGACCGCGAGTGAAAAGAGATCATCGCTAAACATTCATCATTTTAGATTCGACGAAATCGTGCAAAAATTGCGATCTTTCTTAAAGCAGGCGGGCTATAAGGAAAACGATGTCACATTCGTTCCATGCAGCGGCTTAACCGGCCAAAATTTGGTAAAAGCACCAACCGAAAATGAGTTGCTCGTATGGTATAAAGGTCCAGCTTTGATCGACGTAATAGACAATTTCCGATCTCCTCAACGGCCCGTCTCGAAACCATTTAGGCTCTCGATAAATGATATTTTTAAGGTAAATGGTGTAAATGGTATAAAAACGCTTTTTTTCAACACTTGCAACCTGCCGAATCTCTCCAATGCAGAAAATTTGCCGCAAATGCAACCATGTCGCTGGAACTTCGTTTATGTATTTCAACTGAAACCGCGTTGTCAAATTAAAGTCAGAATAATGAGTTTTTTGAACCATGTGTTCGTAGTCGAAAATGGCGCATACCTATTCTGCATTGTGACGTCACAATATACCGATTCTTTGTCAGTGGTTGTCCGGTAGAAAGGACTTGTTGATTTTTGTGAAATGTAATTGTAGGATAAGATTAATGTGCCTTATGTTATAACGCTTTTAGAGTACTGGATCTGGTTTTTGCGTAGCCGGTCGGGTAGAGACCGGAGTGTTAAGCGCGGGCGATAAAGTTCTGGTGTGTCCCAATCGAGAACTGGCCATCGTCAAGTCCATTTCTATCGAAGAGGTGTCGCAACTTACCGTCTTCGCGGGTGACCAAGCCACCGTCACTCTTTCCAATATCGAAATGCAAAACGTATCGGTGGGCAACGTGTTGTGCGATCCTAATCACCCCGTTCCGGTCTCGAACAAATTCGAAGCCCGCATTGTCGTTTTCAACGTCACCGTTCCAATTACCCGCGGCTTTTCCGTAAGTTTGATTTTAACGTGGGATCTATTGCGCGAAAAATGACCGTTTCATAGGTGGTATTGCATCATCAGAGTCTCGTGGAACCGGCCGTCATCAGCAAGTTAACGTCGCAGCTGAACAAGAGCACCGGCGAGGTCCAGAAGAGGCATCCGAGGTTTTTAGGTAACAACACCAGTGCTATCGTGGAGATTACCGTATCGAAACCGATAGCTTTGGAGGTGTACAGCGAGTGTAAAGAATTAGGGAGGGTCATGTTGCGCGTAGGAGGTGTTACGATTGCCGCCGGACTGATTACTAAAGTGATTCTTTAAATTATTAATAACTATTGCGAAATAAATTTTATGTTAGGTACGTGGAACGGTTGTCATATTTATCATCCATGCATGGATCCCAATGAAAACGATGAAAATTTGGAATAATTTTAATGAGAAAACAAAAAATGAGTGCTTTAAATTGAAACCGCCAAATGGGCATGCTTGACCATGCCATTCCATAGTATTTTCGAACGACTCTCCTACAAATGTTAGGTTGCTGAATGAATAGAAGAAAAAATTGGTTGAGGGGACCAAGATATAACGAAACTTCATGATGTCAGTCATGTTTTGTTTAAAAGTTCTATTTTATTCTATCAACAACTCTGGACAACGACGTTTAAGCGAATTATCGATTTTTTGACACTTAAAGTTAAAATAACTGTGAAAACTCTAAACTAGTCAAATAAAGCATGAAACTTGTTTCGAACGGGTCGAGTGACGTCATTGACTCGGCACGCGGAACTATCTTCATCTTACCGTTCTTGGGTACGAATGGCATAGAGCATATAACATAACTGCTAGGGCTGCAACAAAGACGTTATATCCAAAGACACGACTTCACTTATACAGTATCTCAAAAACCAATGGTTTGCTTATACCAATCACGTTTTGCACAGCACAAAATGAGACAGACCATTTCTGTTTAATTCATATTTATAAACAAAAAAGCACTCAGATTACAACAATCACGCCACCCACTACAAACAACCAAATTCGGCACCCAGCTACGAAAATAACAAAGAATCTAACGTTTCCTCGAATAGCTCAAAGTTTTTACGCAATATGATCGACATATAGAGGCCCAGCCCATGCTGACAGTACAGGAACTCATAAGGCAACTATGTAATTTTTTTTTTTGAGAAGGTCCATTCATCGTGCGCATGAGCGAAATTTAAAATTACAGTTTTAACCAATGGTAGCTCTAATAACAAATTCTGACGTAGGACCCATAAGACCTTGCGGCTTTCAACAAACAACATGGCCGCTGACAGATCATCGGTGTGGCATTTTTACGGCAAAATATGTCGAAATCGTATTAAAAATTTTCAGTCAAAAAAGAAGTTAATTAATTATAACTATTAATTAATAATTTGGTGGTTTTGTTCTTCAAGCCTTGTATTTTTTATGTAAGCTATTTTTTTGTAAAGCGTTTCATAAATTCATAGACTTAACCTCCATTGAAACAACTTTGAGTATATGAAACATCAAAGTGAAAAAATGTTCAAGAAACGCCTCCTATAGACAATAATTGACAAGGGTTATTTCTTATGCTTCTTCTAGTAAAAATTCCACTTGTAACTTAATTCATTTCTAATATTTACTGTAATTCTTGTACACTAAAACATATTACCCAAACATCCTTCGTAGCTGTTTAAGTGTGCCTAAAAATGTAGGGAATTCTGTTTAATAAATTCACATGTAAATATTTGTGCAAGTCTGTTTTCCAGTTTATTAAATGTCAAATATATAGGCATCACTGTTTCTCTAAGATCCTGTTAGGTCCCTCATATTTGCCACATTTGCTGTAATTTCGTGGAAGAACCAAGTATTGAAAGCACAAATTGTACAAGATTATGAGTACAGTACGGAAACATTGACACCAAAAATGAGAACAACAATTAGTTGCGTTCTTATAAAAATTAATCAATTTTTCAGAAAAATTACGGCAGCGTCACACTTGGGGGGTGGCGCATGCTCAAAAGATCCTGCTCTTCGAAAAAATCAGCCACCTGCGGCGCATCCATTTTTACAGTGGCAGGGCCACTATATTATCTTATAATGCAAGGTCTTCTGAGCCTGATGTTATATTTCATACAATAGCCTGCTTTTTGCAACATTTTCGTTTTAAACTGGTATTTCCACATACTCAACTCGTTTTTTCCTTTACATATCGCCAAAATAAACAATGATAAATGCCATATCTATACTGAAAAATGTTGTTTATTGGGCAACGGCACTGAACAATTCTGTCCAGCTACATCTATACCGACCTCTCAGATTTGTTAACCCAGAAGTTTTCCTACGTCCTACACTTCTCGTTCTCTTGATCTTTCCGTGGATGATAAGCCTAAACAGCTGGTATTTTTTGCCGTTCATTATATGACCGAGATATTCCAATTTCCTTCTTTTTATAGTTTTTATTCTTTCCTCATTCTTGACAGCACATCCTTTTTTGTCACTCTCTCCGTCCATGATATTCTCCACATTCTCCAATAGCACCAAATTTCAAAATGTTTTTGATGATAAATATCAACATTTCGTCAAAGTCGTGCATTTCTGAATTTAAATTTAAAAATTTAAATGGTATAGTTAGAATCGCAACTTTTATTTTTATACGCCCATTTATGTTCGTTAATGCATTTCTTAAATTTATATCGGACAAATAGTTCGGATTCTAACTATGCCATTCATTTAAGTTCAGAAATGCACTACTTTGACGATAATTTTGATGTTTTACATAATCTTTCAAAAACCAAAAAAATAAATTTGTTGGAAGCTCTGAAGAATAACAAAATGAGATATTCGAATTTATTACTTAATGACAAATTGGATTTAAATGCGTCTCCGTCCTATCTGTGGTCGGTGCATACACTTGAATAATGTTAATTTTTTCTTTAACCTGTATCACAATAATGCGGTCGGAATATGGTGCGAAGCTTTCCAGTGATTTGTTTATTTCTCTTTTCACTATAATGCCAACGCCATATCTATGGGTTGCGCCGTCATTTCCTGAGTAATAGAACATGCCGTATTTTGTTGGACATTTGTCAAATGCCTGCCGTTGTACATCGCTGATATATTCAGGTTTTTTGTTCACTTTTAGTTTCATAACATTGCCCTCAACTGTTCCCCCCGGAGGTCAGATTGGGAAACTTATTACTCCGGAATTTTTAGTTTCGACCTTTGCCATGATGATTGTTACTAATAATATGCATACAGATCTTTAATGCAGTAGTTTTTCATTGTCTTCTGCTTCCTTATGCCGTTGATTACTGCTACTAATTCCTCCGCCTTTGAGGCCGATTTCTCAACCTCAGGACAAAAGAGTGCCCTTTGTTCCACTTGTTCATCCGCCCGTAGCTATATGTGGATCGCTTATTCCGGCGATCATTCGTTCGTCAGAGACGAGTTTTTACGAACGGTTGCTTCGTAGGCATGTAAATGATTTTTTCCACTCCCGTCTGTAAAATACCTAATTACGCAGCGATCTAGCGTGCGGGGAAGCGTCACTTTACCACGTCAGTTTGGTTTCCCACGAATCCGAGCCACTTCGGACATTTCCGGGATATTAGCGCACGGGTTTGGGAGCAATCGGATGTTTTCGGAGATTTTACCGCGGGGCTTGAATTTTGACGTTTGTCAATTCTGACCGCCGTGTCAGTGAATATGCGTGTTGTTTTGCTAAAATGCTCCAAAATTAACGATCATAGAAACAGTATAAGATGCAACACGTTTGGTAAACTCGCTCCGCTCGTGCTAAATAAACTAATGATTCGAATGACGTTTACCGCACTTGTTGCATAATATATTACTAAATAATTTTGAGTGCAAAAGGTCATTTATTACAGTTTCGATGAAACCGCGAATTTCATACCCCTTATAACTTATTTTCTAGATCATTATAACGCATCAAATATTCACCGGTAAATTTATTAAACCATCCAGCTCCACTTAAGGTCATTAAGAGCAAATACAGTGGTTTGATCGTTGATACCGATAAACCCCTAATCGTATAGCGTCACAACACGACATGCCATAATTTACTTAATAATTTAATTTTTTTTTACACGTGGATCGGTCAGCATTACCCTAACAATTTCCTCCGCACCATTGACCATTCGAAACCGAGCAAAAGTCGTGCCGCGCAAAAATGTTGTGGGCGAAAATCAAACCACCAAATTATAAATTGCTGTTCCATGTGGCCGTCATGGGAGCGGTCCTGCTGGTTTCGGGAGCACTGCTCGGTTTCAAAATTATACCGGACCTAATCGAGGATAAAATATGGGAAGTAAGCGTCTCGCCGGTCGTTTTCGTTTCGATTCCTAAGGTTTTTTTTTAGAAAAAAGTACTGAGGATGAACACCGAACAGTGGGACGTTTTTCTCAAAATGCCGTTCCCTGTAACATTCAACGTTTATTTATTCGACGTACAAAATCCAGACGAAGTTATGTCGGGCGCTAAGCCAGTGGTGAAAGAAAAGGGGCCTTACACCTACAAGTAAAATTACAAATACCAGAAATACGTCTTAAAAATAATTCTAAATTAAATTGAATTAAATTAAAAAAGGTTATCGGTATTAATAATGGTTATACTATTCTAAGCAATATTTTATCAACCATAGATAAAACTAATAAAAAGAGAGTGACGGTTTAAATGTGTATAATCGGTGTACCATTATACCTCGCCTGCTGCGCAACTCAGACGTTCCAAGTATGAACAAATTGAGTTACGAGTGCGTTTCGGTCTTTATCTGTAACAGCCGGGAAGGAGACAAAAAACGAAATTCCTTTCTTGTATACTGTGTGTTGTTATCTGTGTACCTGTTTGCTATGTGTTATAAGTAGGAAAAATAAACCAAATCTAAAAAAAAGGTAAGTGAAAGTGAGGTTATTGTATAATTAAATAAAATTCCTAAATGTAGTATTTTGATTGTGCTATTTGTTTAGATTACATCGGAAATGAAATGGAAAACTTTGTTTTTACTTTATTTTTTAGTTATGGCGCAGCTCCGTCCTATAAATAGTTGCTGTTAGATTTGATATATTTTTTTTTATTGTATTATATATTTTATATTAGAAATAAAACTACATTAATTTACATGATTTAATTGTTTATACATTATTTAATGGTTTAAATTTTCCCGCCACTTGACACCAGAAAATTAGTTGGTCCTGTAGCTCATGGTGGCGCTGAATACCATTCCGATATTTAATAAGGAATCTAACACCCTCTCTTTTACTAGTTTTTTCTATGGTATTCTTACGGTAATAAGCCATTAAACTTAAAGGATTATTATGCAGAATATATAAAAATACAAAAACAATAAAATTATTGATAGGCTTTTAGCAATGTTGAGGCGCTGCTGAATGAAAACCGTGAGATGCCTAATTTCAGGTTAAACAGATGGAAATCCAACATCACGTGGGATCAAAAGAGCGATGAGATTTCGTACTTCGAATATGAACGATATCAATTTGACGAAGACGCGACAAAGCCTCTTTTCGAAACTGATACCGTAACGCTTTTAAATATTCCGTACAATGTAAGAAACAAACCTTTCAGCCCTAATACTATATACTCGCCGTGCAGCATAGCCTATTCTCTCATCTTAATTAGTATATCGTGGGACTTTTTTGACAATTGTCACTTCACAAAGGTGCATTGGACATCGTTAATGCAAATTGGTTAGTTTACTGTTATGGCTTAACTCAGGATTAAAAGTGCTTAGTCCAGAGTTGTCATGTGGCAGGAGAAAACACTTGATCGAGAGTGATTCTGGCTAAGCCAACTCAATTCAAGGCTAGGCTGATTAGTGGCCAATATCAGAAGTCCTTAATAGGACTTCTGAAGCTAACCCTTTCTGTGGATGATAAATCAAAAGAAATCGGAAACATTTAAATAAACATGAAAATAGCCTTTTCTTTTACCTCGTCGAAAATATCATTTAATAGAAAAAATAGTTCCATATCAATATTTTTGTTAAAACAAATTCCTAGAGCATCTTACTAACGACCGAACACCTGATGCCCAGCGCGATGTCAATGTTGGATCCCGCGCTGCCGTCAATTTTTGGCGAACTGAACGACCTTTTCGTCAGGGTGAAGGTCAAAGATTTTTTGTGGGCCGGGCTGCGATTCTGCCGCGACGGGGACAGTGAAAATTTTGCTGCCAAGATGGTCTGCAAGCAAATTAAAAACAAACTCAAGTCGACCAAACAAATGCGACTTGAAGGCGAGGTAATCGTTTTCGCCAGTCTTTATTATGTGAGTACCGACTATAGACGTTTTCAAATTAGCAAGTAGAAAAAACTTTTTTCGCAATTGTTGACAACATTCAACCCCACATAGTGAATAAAGTGCCATATAGACTCACAAGACTCAAGATTTGGGAGATTTATCAATTGCTTCACTCCGTTATGTACTCTCCATACTCGTTTACACTGCCACAGTGCGTGTGTCGCTGTTTCCTCTCTTGGCAGAATCTGCAATCAGTGTTTTCTTCCACTCCCATTAGGCTCAAATGCTTCTTAAGCCGGCCTAACATTACTGCCTTTCTTTTGTAACTTAGTAGATCTGCAGTGAATTTGGCCAATGGACCTCTAAGGAATTTCTTGTTCTGTCGCTCTACGACGGCATTTTCTTTCTATCTATTTTTTGATGGATGATTTTGCAATCGGTTTAGCTAACCCACAAAAGGGTTCTGGTCGAACCATGTGCCTTGATCAGCCTTCGATGGCTACTTGGTCCGTGCTTTCGTTTGTTGCCTTTCTGGTATGCCCGACAGCACCACTTTATTCTTTATTCCAAAACTTGGTTGTTACTTTGTTGGATTGCATAACTTTTATTGCCTCTTCATTCCCGGTGTAGGTCGCAATGTCTTATTACGAAACTTTTTCGTCTTTAATTATCTTGTATAGTACGGTACGGTACGGTAATCTCTGCTTAGGTTCCTAGATTCAACATTGGAATATAAATTTTTGTTTTCATCCTGGGTTAGTTAATCCTTCTTGAATTTTTGAGATCTCTCTGTACAAGATTATCTTTGCCATTATTAGTGGCTCATTTGGTTGGGGTTTGAGTTCTGTAATTTTTAACAAAGCAGTACTTGGGTGTACTGCTGTCCGCAGATAGGACCCCTAGGAGTTCGTCTACTTTATCTCCCTGTAGTGATTGTCATGTTTATTGTTATGTCCACTATGTGTATATATATCACTATATAGACTCACATGTGATTTATGCACTTAAAATTTTAGTCACGCTCTTCCAAGCATATTCGGAGTTAAAAACATTTTTCTGTTGTTCTTGTGTTCTAGAGAAACGATAGCCACCATGGTTATTTTACGGTAAAATCGGGCCAACACCACGAAACCAAAACCGGGAAACTTACGAAGGTCAACAATCAAACTCAAATGACGACTTGGTTAGGCGAAGCCTCAGCTTGCAACCAGATCCAGGGGCTTACGTCCGTTTTCCCTAACGATGTCCAAAAGGACTTCAATTTCGACGTTTTCTCCGAAGATATTTGCAGGTATGATCTATCAAAAGTAAAACCAAAATAAACTTGGCACACTAACCGGCACTTAAATTGGAGCTATCATCTTTCGCCAATATTGGTAGGGTCTTACTAGTTAAAAGCGAGATTTCAAATGACAGGTCTTATTGGTTAAAAGCAATCGAAATAGCATATGGAGAATGGCATTCGAGAATGTGTGGAAAGAATCTGGGATATCTGAGAGGACGCGAAAAAAAAAAACATGACAAATCAACATGTTTTATTGAAACAACTAAACCCACTTAAGCTCGTAATTTATGTGTTCTCGTAAAAATGCTTTTATTTTTTTTTGTCAAAATATTTCATTTTATCGGTATTAAACCAGTTGTTTCAACTGAGGATGGAAACTACCCACAAATATTTTCTTTAGGTCTTTACCGTAATGTGAATTAATTTTTTACTAAAATAGAGTGTTCTCGCTTACTTATTTCTTTTGATGTACAAATCAGTCCCTTACTGATAAATAAGCTAAATATTATTGCATTTTTATATCGAAAAAAATCTTTGGCCTACGCGACTTTGAAATTAAACAAGGCAACTAAAAATCCATTTCTTCCAAAATAACAAAGTATATTTAGTATACAACACTACTAATAATTAATATAACGCCTAGAATTAATTGATATTTCCCCCTTGTACCGTTTACCTTTTCGACTGACCGACCGGAGAGAGCTTCGGTTTTATAGAACGCAGCGCCTTCTCCCGATAGAAGTCAAACATTACAGCAGTCTTCTCCTAAGGCCGTATCTGTAATCACGTTTCGATTCCTCTGTATGGTAAAGTTCGTGGAACTCAGATGCGGCCAGGGCCGGGCCGCATTTACAGTAACAGCACGCGGGCTAGAAACTTCGTTTAAGTTTGTTATCAGTAAGAGCATATGTGCTAGAGAGAAAAATGCGCAACAGCACGCCTTCTAGAAACTTCCTTCTTTCTTTGGTTAAGTGTGTTTTGTGGTGTTTGTTTTTGAGTTTTATATGCATACTATTGTGTAAAAATATAAATATGGATGGGGAAAAACTTCCTAAGTCGTTTAAGACTAAAATAATTAGTGATAAGATTCTAAGGCTTCAATTAAAAGACAAAGCCGATGTTGAGGTAAGTACTTTATAACAAATTTGTTTCCTAACCTTACAATAACGGATTAGTTACCATTAGAGCGTACTGTCAGTGAGCAGGAGATGGAGATGGATCCATTTACTGTAGAGAATTCGTATAACAAAAGCAAAATGGAAAGCAATGAAGGTTCCAACAACATCGACATAAATTCAGAATTTATTAAAAATATGCCCTCCCCACAGGAAATTGCAGTCCTTAAAAATGAATGGCAAAGTTTTTGCACCTACATTTTAGATAAAATTGAACAAGATCCTATTGCTTTTTATCCACCTGCAAAGCAGTGTCTGGTTAATAAAAACAAGTATGCTAATAGTGACAATAATTTGAGTAGCGGTTTATACCACTGTTTTAAATATAGTGGTGTTCGTAGCGTAAGGAGACAAACTAATTTGCGTCATGGCAAAAAAATACCCGTGCAGCCAACTACCATTTCAAGAAGAAAGTCATTGACGTGTGGAAGAAGAGCTCAGACAGCAGGGCGAAGTACTAAAAGGCTTTCAAATAGCAAAACAAAAAATCCGCATTCGCTTGCCAAATGTGTTAGAGAAAATAAGGGTCTTGGAGGAAATAAATTTAAAAAGTAATTAACACCTTTTTTTATAGGATAGACATAGGTCGCAATAATGTTTAAAATATACTTCATTTGTTTTTTTTACGTTAAGTAACAAAAACGTAATTCTTCTATCTTAAAAAATCAATTTCAGTTACATTTTTGTAAGTATTTTTATGCTACCTTGATAAGAATGTATTCTTTCTACTGTTCTGTTTTTTTGTTCAAATATAACACTGCTTCTATGTGTATTGGTATGTGTTTTAGTTTTGTTGATCTATACTTATCCATAGAAAAAGTGCTGTTTTGATTATCGCTCGTGCATGAGTGCTATTAATATAGCCAACATTTTAGTAACATGTTCTAGCCCGCGTGTTATTACTGGTAACCGCTGTTAGCGCGAGTGTTGTTACTAGACTCGGCTTCGGAAAAAAATATTTTCTAGCCCACGTGCTGTTACTGTAAATGCGGCCGGGCCCGGCCCATTCAGTTTCCTAGTCACAATATATTTTAAGCATACTATTTTAAGAGAAACTTACTAGTTTCCATCATATTACATTTTTTTATATATGTCAATAAAAGTACAGGGTGGGCACTTAATTAGGGGCCTGTACCTTTTCTCAGGAACTACAGATTTAAGAAAAAAACTAGTCTACAAAAGTGTTATGGTATAAATTAAAATTTGAAATTATTTATTTTTTATATATACAGGGTGTCCGATACGTGCTGGGCCGACATTAGTTTTAAAATTTTAAATGGAACACCCTATATATTTTGATATTTTTAGAATGGTAGCCAAAAATAAAGTTAACTTTTATGGAAACTACTTATTCGAATTTTGTGTAGTTTAGTCAGAAATTGAGATTATATATTTTTTTATGTAAAATTATGTTCTTAGTAAATATGGTTTTCCACGGTTGGCGGTAATAACTACTTGATCAAATTTTAAACACATTTTTAGAAGACTTTCTTCTAACGATCAGCGATGACTAGGTATTTTCAATATGTATAGGATGTCTTAAATTTTTTTTCGAATTTAACTTGCAGTATTCATTATTTTTAAAATGTTTTTGATATTTTTTCTCAAAGCAGGTCAAAATACCTATAATTTGGTATATATATGTCCTATACTTAATTGGTTTTCGAACTACTGACACCTAATTATCCTAAAGAATTTAAAAAAGCATATCATTCTTATTTTTTAATGAATTTTAAGGATTTTTGCAATAGGTGATGGGTCTTTTTTGTAGGTAAGGTAATGCAGAGATTTATAGGTGTAAAAGAATATGATAGAAGATTATGATAGAAGTTTAAAAATTAAAACGAGTAACAGTAACAAGTAAAAGCAACAAACAACAGTAATTGTAACAATTAAAGTAAAAACTAAGGTAAAACAAAATAGAAAATCTACAGTAGTTTTTCAACATGTTCACCATTTTGAATAATGCACGTTGTATAAACAACCTCTATATGGTTTATAGTTTATAGCATTAGAAACAAAATTACCGTAGTGCATCTTTATTTATATACCATATCTTTAATTGTCCGCCATACAAAAAGGTAAGTGGGGTAAGATCTGGAGTTTGAGGTGGCTACCAGATGTTTCTATTTTGTCCTATCCAAAGATTGTAATTTTGATTTAAAAATTCAGTGATATTGTGTCCCCGGTGGCACTGAGCACCATCTTGTTGCCATATTGAGCACGTTCACGGTATTTCATTTACTATTAATAATTTTTAATTACTATTAATATTTAAATCTAGAGTATAAGTTTTCATTAAATAAAATTGGCCCTATATACCGATTCCGCACCACATTTTTACAGGTCGTCTACCTTGTTGTTTTACTTCCAACACCCTTTTCTTATTCAATTATTCAAATTATATGAAGCAAGGCGTTATTAGCAAAATGCATGTCCATTAAAATATGGCAGTAGTGTAATCTTGTTCCATAGTCCCGTTCCTCTATATATTGCACGGGTAAAAACTTAAAAACTTAATAACTTATATAATTTTAAACAATTTCTTAGGCTAGTTCTTTTAAGATCCAACTCCAACGCGGCTTGACGAGTGGAGGATTCTGGTATATTCTCCGTAGTATATCCAACTGCTTCTCCTCTGTTAGAACTTGTGGCGGTCTTTTCTTGGACTTGACAGAGGGCTACCATCCAAAGCCAGTTTTTTCTTGCACCGTATAAGATTTTTTAACTTAAGTAATAATATTATTGCTTGATTAAAATTACATCTGTCAAATTCTGACTCTTAATTATAACGTCATTTAAAACACTTATTTAATTACCACAGCACACTAGGGCAAAAAGTAACTTCCATAATATTATTATGCCCTTTAAAAAATAGGAGGTTTTAGCTATTAATGAAAACTTTATTGAAATATGCGAAATCTTAATAAATTGTCCCATCAAGATATGCCCTTATAAAATTCTTTAAAATAATTAGGTGTCAGTATTTTTCGCCAGCGAGTTTATTCCTAAAATTTCGAAAACGATTAGATTTAGGTAGAGGACATATACATACTAACTGCTTTGAGAAAAAGTATAATATAATCTATACTTTTCAATCGTAGTCATCGCAGATCGTTAGAAGGAAGTCTTCTAAAAAAGTAGTCATTACTGCCAGGTGTGAAGGACCATATTAACTAAGAACATAATCTTTCATAAAAAAATATATAATCTCAATTTCTGTCTAAACTACACAAAATTCGAATATCTAGTGGAACACCATTTAAAATTTTAAAACTAATGTCGGTGCAGCACTTATCGGATACCCTGTATATTTAAAAAATAGATAATTTTAACATTTAATTTAAACCATAAAAGTTTTGTATAAACTTTTTCTTTTCTAAAATCAGTAGTACCTCAGAAAAGCTATAGGCCCCTAATAAAGTGTCCACCCTGTACTCGAAAAAGCAATTTCCAGCGGCACTTGATGATGATTCGCTCCTTACGACGTAGATGGCGAGACAAACGTCTCCAAAAACGATCGAATTAAACTAGCTACTTTTACTTAACTCCTTTAAATTGACTTCTTATAACTGAAGAAGTGACAACCCGCCTTTCCAGAACAATATCGATGACGTTCAAGAGCGAGGAAGTCGTGGATGACGTCGCAGCGTACAAGTTCGCGGCCATGGGCACCACATTCAGCTATTCGAAAGATGGAGGTGGCGATTGTTTCTGCATAAACAGGACGATGAATTTAGATGGGACATACGGGTGCTTGTTTGACGGTGTCGGCGATTTAACCACATGTACCGGTGAGTCAATGAAAACATGAAAATTCTGGTATCGAATGCATTCGCAGTTCAAACTGTATAATTTGGCAATCAGTAGAAAATCGGATGCTTGTATGCACGTTGCACCCAAAGAATCAAATGTGTAATACACTAAGGGATGCAGAAAAATTATGTAACTTTCTTTTTATTTTAAATGGTACGGGATAGCGACGGATGATTAATTAAACAGTAAATTAATATACGAGGTGTGTTCAAAAAGTAAGGTGACTTTTGTAATTGAGCGGGCTACGTACATTCGATCTTCGATATTTTTATATACACATATCCCAAACATATGTTCACAGTTTCAGCCAGTTTGCATGTTCAGTTTTTTTGTGAGACAGAAGCAAGACAATGCTGCAAAATACTTGAAATGTTGACCACGGCATATGGTAAATCCACTGTGAGCAAAATACTGTTTATAAGAGTGGCACAAGTTGTTCCAAGATGGCCGAGAAGACGCTGATGACGAACCTCGCTCTGGACGCCAATAACTGATGAAAGTAATGAAGAAGTGAAACAAAAGGTGGTGAAAAATCGTCGTATCACTATTAGAGAAGTGGTTGAAGACGTTAGCATCGCATCTCATTTGGCCTGTGCCATGCAATTTTTTCCCAAGTTTTGGACATGAAACGTGTTGTAGCAAAATTTGTTCCGAAACTGTTGATTTTGAACAAAAGGATCATCGAAAGGGTATCGCTCAAGAGCTGTTAATGATGACCCTGATATGCTCAAAAAGGTTTTAAACCTGTTGATGAATCATGGGTATATGGTTATAACATCGAAACCAAAGTCCCAATGGAAGAACCCAAATGTCAAGGTTTTGCTTACTGTTTTCTTTGATTATCGTGGCGGAGTTCAGATCTTACCACAAGGTTGTATGGTCAATAAAGAGTATTATCTTGAAGTTATGCGCCGTTTGCGAGAATCAATATCAAGAAAACGTCCGAAATTGTGGGAAAACAATTTATGGATATTGCATCACGATAATGCACCTGCTCACTCATCGTTGCTTGTGTCTAACTTTTTGGTCAAAATCCACAATCATGTCTCAGCCACCATATTCACCGGATATGACCTTCTGCGATTTTTTCCTGTTCCCAAAATTCAGAAAACCCATGAAAGGAAATAGGTTAGAAGTGCTTCGAGGATTCGAAAAAACGTTAGCACAAGTTGTCACTGAATTTGGGGGGGGGATTACTTTGAAGGGGACAACATAAATAAATACTTTTTGATAAAACTTAAAAGTCACCTTACTTTTTGAACACATCTCGTATATCGCGATAAAATAGTTTTTGATGTTTTGTACACTTTTATTGTAATAATAATGTAATAATAATAATTATGTAAATAAATAAATTATTATATTATTTAATTATGAAATATTGTATAAATTATAAAAAATATAAATATATATAATATAAAATATTATGAAACATATACAAAGTCGAGTGAGATTTTGACGAAAATAGTCAAATGAGTAGGAAAATAAGGACAAATTGCAGATTTGACCGATTGACCGATTTGCATAACAAGATTGCCGTGGACGGTCACTGCAGGCAGTTGTTTCGACAATATTCGCCCGGAGCTTTTAAACGAAATGTCAAACAAATTAACGAGTCTTACGGGACCGTGAACTCGTAATGAGTCAATAAACTGAAGATTTGAGGGCTTCTGAAAAACGAATGAGTATAGTAAGGAGGTGGAGAAAAAACGTACCATTTCATTAAATCAACTTTTACATATTTCTATGAATGTGTAGAAGAGCCAAGTCCTTTATTTCTTAGAATTACGTCTTTTCTTTAAGTATTGTACATTTTTTGTCAACTTTTCTGTAAAAAATATATAAACTTACAAACGTTTCATCAAAATCACATTAAAAAAAAAAATTACAATTCTTACGAAATTTGGTATACAATTGATAAATGTTAGCTTTGCTGTAAAAAAATGGCTAATTTACAAAAAGCAACACTTTGGTGTTTTATACTTATCTTACCAAAAAAAATTAAATTCACACTTTTCTTACAAAATTTCGTGAAACGTTTGCGCATTTACATTTAACTTATAAATCACACGCTTTTTGCAAAATTTCGTTAATTTAATTAGGCTAGGGAAATTATTCAGTTTAGATTGGTCAGTGCTTCTATCCCTAAAGTCTCAGGCTATAAACAAAAACTTCGGAATAACCTTAGATTTAAGAGCTAAATCTCCAAAATAGTTTAAAGATCATTTATTTGTGAATCTGGTTCTTCCACACTGTAGTTACGCTGATATTGTATATGTTGATGTTCAGTCCCAAGCTAGATAGGGAATTCAAATGTATTCTGTAAGTTCAGTATTTTGGGGTAGATTAACATGCAGGACAGACTGAAATTGCATTTAGGTTGTTTCTTCTACAAATTTCTTGAGACTATCACGCCTAAATATCTTCGGAAAAAAACTTACATTCCGCTTCATAACTCATTATTGCGACAGAACTCACATCTAAAAAATTTTATTTGTCAATTAAATATAAGTCGGGGAATTACCTCCTAAATAAATAATGCCCTAATACATTCATTTCTTTACAATTATAATAACTTTGTGATGAGTGTGGAAATGTATATGCTATGCTAAAATTTGTTTCCATTCCATTGTAAAAGTGAATTTACATTAATCTTACAAAAAATCCAAAATTCGCACTTTCTTATACATTTTCTTTTTTTTTTTCTAATAAGTTTTTACTTATATTATTAAAAAACCTAAAATGTACACTTTTCTTACGAAATTTCGTGAAAAAATCGTTTAAAAAAAGTAGCACGTAGCCCTTACAATTGCTTCCAATGAAAACGATTGTCCTATCTAAATTAAATAAGAATGACAAATACGAAATATCGTCCCCCCAGGAACGAAGCATGTTTAAGCGCTTCCGCATTTTTTCCTGAAAATATTGCGGCGAATCTTACACGGCCGAAATAATCCGCTAAATGAGGCGTTAAAACAAGCCGATTAATAACAAATAGCAACAGTTATTAATATGGAAATTGGCAAATTATAATAATCAACGATTGATAAATGTCAAGGATCAGTTACATGAAAAGTTTAATTTGTTAAAATTGCTAAAATACGTTGGCCGTATAAGATGTGTCGACGGAATGCATTTCCTAGAACAGCGATAATCCTATTAGCCCTATATTTTTTTTATATAATATTTGGAATTTCCTGATGGAGATCCCACAACTACACTGTTAAAAACAACGATTGTCTATTGCTATTCCTTTATGTTCTTTTATTTTTTCTAAGATTAAAAGATTAAAATGATAAGCCATATAGACGACTTCCTATCTAATAGTTTCGCCTGGATCATCAATCAATCATACACATCATATATATTATTAAGTTTTGTTGCGTTTTCTACAAAAATTGATTAGATCCTATTAACCAGTGAACTCGATCTAAACTGATGTACGGCTTATTTTATTTCGAGGCAAACGAGTAATAATGGGTATTATTTTCTCTATATCACACATTAATAATATCGACAAATAAATGTACTGAGAGGTTGTTTCCAAAATTTTCTATCCACAACGAATTGACATAAATTTAAAAATAAAAGACTTTTCTTAAATTTTTTAATTAGTCATGACAAAATTTTCAATTTTTTTCTCTTTTGTAGAACTGAAAAAAATTGGGCAAACCTACGTAAGTTTTTTAACTCGTTAATTAAACACTCTCTCCACTGTACTCGGCTCGTGTACTATTTTACGGGTTTCTTAAGAGTTTAGAATAATACATTGTAAATTAGGTAATTAAACAGCGAGGTGGGGTTCCTTCTCATTTATATAAACGAAGAAGGGGAAGATGATTACTAACCGTCTTTTTCTTCTTCTTCTTCTTCTACTCTTCACGGTTTAGACTTATAGTCTGTTCCGGCTTCATACATCCCTCCAGCGTCGGCGGGGTCGACCTACACTTCTTCTGCCTATTGGCTGGTAGTTTGTTATTATTTTCGGGATTCTGTCATCAGGCATTCTATTTACATGTTGTTTCCAGTTGCGTCTATATTCTTTTATTTTATCTGTCATTGCAAATATTTGTAATTCGTTTCTGATATCTTCATTTCTAAATCTATCTAGTCGTGTGCAACCTTTCACCCCTCTTAAAAATTTCATTTCGGCCGCTTGTATTCTGCTATATTCTGCTTTTGTTGGTACCCAGCTTTCGCAACCGTATAGGAGTACTGGAGTTGCCATAGTTTTGTAGAATTTTATTCTGGTGTCTTTCCTTGTTTTATTCTTTAATGTTCTTTGGATTGTTCCACATATATATTCAAATTTACGTAGTTTTTGAGAGATATCATTATCTCTGTCATATCCTACTTCGCAACCAAGGTACTGGAACTGAGACACCTGTTCCAATGGTTGATTGTCTAGAACAATCTTTGTTCTTACAGAGTACATACCTTCAAAGGCCATAACTTTCGTCTTTTCCTTCGAAATTGTCATATTGTATTCCTTACACAGTAGATTCAGTTTATGTATAGAGCTTTGGAGATCATTTTCATTGTTTTGTATCAGTATGAGGTCGTCTGCGAATAGAAGGGAATTCATATAGTCGTTCTGGTCGATCTTAATTCCCTTCTTTGTTTGTCTTTTCCATTCTCTCAAGATATGGTCAATGTAGATATTAAAAAGAGAAGGTGACAGACTGCATCCTTGTTTTAAGCCTTGGTTTGTCTTTATGGGTTTGGATTCGCCACTGTTTAATTTTAGAGTTATTTGGGTGTTTTCGTACAAGGTTTTTATTGTTCGCACCAGATGTATGGGGTATCCTCGGAGGCGCATAATTTTCCACAAAAGATTCCTGTCCACCCTGTCAAATGCCTTTTCAAAATCTATGAAGGCGATGTGTGTTTGAATATTGTATTCGCGGTGTTTTTCTATGATTTGTCTCACAGTAAAGACATTGTCAGTGCAAGATCTTCCTTTCCTAAACCCATTTTGATCTTCTAATAGAATGGCGTCTGAGATTGCTTTTATTCTGTTGTTGATAATTTTAGAGTATATTTTATATATAGAGTTCATTAGACTTATACCTCGGTAGTTGTTGCAATCGTTTCTCTTCCCTTTTTTGAATATTGATATGACTTGGGTGTCTTGCCATTCTTTAGGTATTTGGCACTCTCGCCAGCATTCATTAAACAGGTGCAATAATCTTAGGTTTAATATCGGTCCTCCATATTTCAAGAGTTCCATGTTGATGTTGTCTGGACCCGCCGCCTTTCTATTTTTCATCTTTTTCATTACCTCATGAAGTTCTTCGATGTCTATTCTATCGCCCACATAAATATCGTCGTTTTCTGTTTCTTCTGATGTTACTGCATCTGGGTTATACCATAGAGATTCGTAATGTTTAGTCCATTCTTGTTCGTCAATTATATTTAAGCTTGCCTGATCTTTTGTAGTTTTATTGAGTTGTCTAATTACCTTATAAGCAAATGCTTGTTGTCCATGCATATCGTTTTCCACGTTGCTGATGAATTTATCCCAAGACTGTTGTTGTATTTGTTTCCTTAATCTGTTGACAGTGTTACGAGCTAGGTTATATTGCCCTTTACTCTCATCTGTTTTTGTTTGTAGATATTTCAAATATGAAACTTTATTTTTCTTAATGGCTTCTTCGATTTCTTTGTTCCATATTCTTAGCCCATGTTTATTTCTGAACTTCTTCTTCTTTCCTAGACTTTCAAAAGCTGCTCTTTCTATGCATCTCTTTATGTTTTCCCATTCTTTGTCGGAGTTATCGCTTTTAAGTGTTTGTGATAAATATTGGTTCAGGCGTCTTATATAAAGGTCTCTAACACTGTTCTCGTTCAACAGATATACTTTGAATACCAGTTCGTTTGTGGGTTTCTTACTTGTGTTTTTCCATTTTGCAGGCATATTAATTGTGGATATTAGCAAGTAGTGGTCTGAATGGACATCGCTGCCTCGGTATACCCTAACATCTTCTATCAGTGAGGTAATTTTATCATTTACAATGATATAGTCGATTATCGATTTTTGGCCTCTAGCACTCCAGGTGTATTTATGGATTTCCTTATGTCTGAAAAATTAGTTTGTAATACGTAACTGATTGTAAGAAGCAAACTGTATCAGTTCTTGTCCATTTGTATTTAGACATGGCTCTCCGAAGGGACCCAAAATTCCTGTGATAGGTATATTGCCTACCCTTGCATTTAGGTCTCCTGCTATAATGATAGCGTCGTTCTTATTACATCTGTTCACTAGACTTTGTAAAGTTTCGTAAAAGTATTCAGTATCTTCTTTTTTCCCTTCTTCTGGAGCATAAACACCAATAATAGTCAGATGACCTCTTTCGTATTTTAGTCTCACTGATACGATTCTTTCATTTATAAAAGTATAGCTAGTGATTTTTGTTTTCCATTTATGGTCGATTAATATACCGACTCCACAGCAGGCTCGTTTATTTTGTTCCACTCCACTGTAAATCATTGTGTAATCGTCTAATTCTTTAGTTCCTTTTAATTTCTTTTTTGTTTCAGTTATGACTATTATGTTTGCTTTGCGTTCTTTAAGTACTCTGTTTAGTTCTTGTTCTTTATTTCCTAAGCCTCTCATATTCCAAGTTCCTAATATTAGCTTATCAATTATACCTACTCGTTTACCTTTAACTTGCCGGGGTCGTTCAGCAGATAATCCAGTCCTATCATCCGAGGCATTTGTATGAAGCTTGTGAGTTATTAGTAGATTCCTCAATACAGGTAACCGATCTGTAGTTGAGTAAGACGAGTGGTGGGGCTGCCACCTTGGGGCTTCTCGACCTGCCCGTTTTTCTGTCGGAGTTGTCTTCTCTTAGCCAATCAGTCTTTTTCTATTGTAAAATTTGCCTTACTTCCTTATTATGATCTATTTTATTTATCCAAGTTAGGTGAAAATCAAAATAACCATCTAGAAATTTCATTTAAAGATTACCCTGACGAAGCCACTTATTGCCTAGTTAACTAAAAGACTACTTTATCACGGAATACAAAATCAGATACAGAAACGGCATCGTCAGTGAAAAGAGACAGGTAACTCCCAGCAAAAAGTGGGAAAATATCAATGCAATAAATAAAAGAGGGCCTAACAAGCTACCTTGAGGAACCCCATATAAACCCGCGGCTGGTCAATACGAGGACGACAGAAACGAAATAAAAAATGGTATCTCGATGCGCGAAACGCAGTTGCTGGATGGCTTCGATGGTCTTTAACCTTATTTCCACTCGACTGTTGTATAAAACCAAACGACGAGTGCCACGGGTCGCCAGTCCACCATGTTTCTTTCTTCGATTTGCGCGTTCGCGGTGGTCTCGGCCTGCGCCGCGAAGATATACGACAAGTGCGAGCTGGCGCGCGAGCTGAAGAACTTCGATCTTCCGGATCAACAGATCCCCACGTGGGTGTGCATCGCCAAATACGAATCCCTATTCGACACAAGCGCAACAAACAACGGAACCGGAGATCACGGACTGTTTCAGATCTCCCAACAGTATTGGTTAGTTGCAATTTCGACCGTATACCATAGAGAAAACTAATAAAAAAGGGAGTTGGTAAATATTGGATCCGTGAGAAGCAAAAAAAAAACTGCACACAACAAAAGGCGAAATGAAAATGCAAAAAACTAATATTTTCAAATCGAGGAGCGAAACTTCTATTAGAGGTTTGTTTTTCATGTAGTCAAAGGGCGGAACCATACCATAACTGAAAAATAAAGTAATGCGGTTAAGCAAATATCAAAACAAATATTATGTACTTGTATAGGGTCCGAAAATTGGACACTTTTCATGGGAAACCCCTCCTCTAAAGGAGAAAAGGAGACGAAAACTAATGTAGGTGTCTGGAACTCGATTTTCTTAATACACTTAATGGTAAGAAACGCACATGAATATGTGGTACCGTTTCAGAATTATATAATATATAATTTTTAAAACTAATGGTTTTGTTAGTGTCAACTAAAAAATTGATTTTTTATATTGAACGCCCGGTATATTTTTGGATCTTTTAAAAGAACTTGAAGTTAGCTTTCCAAATATATAGCATACTAGATATTTTACTCTCGTCTCATTTAAAATACAACAGTGTTACCATTTTGAACAAGAAGGCAAATTGCGAATTTGGTTGTCACAACCCGATTAAGAATATAAATATTATACAATATAAATTATAAGAAATATTGGTTTTAAGGGTCGTTGAAAATAAATCTACAACGTTAACAGGAAACTTAAAGACATCACCAAGACTATTAACGTTAGATAAACTTGACGAACCGTGTAACCGAGTACCGAATTTTCCTATGATTCTTTAAAATTTATTTGAAAAGTATCAGTTTTCCGCATTCTTTTTTTTATTTCAAATGCTTTTCTGTACATTTCTTTGGTGATGCCGTGTTTATCCTCGTGCACAAGGCGGTATATGGTTAAATGTCCAACTCCAGTCATATTCAAATATATTTTTCTATTTTGCAACTCCGAATGTTAATTAAATTCCGCGTACAAAGTTGGTTTTGAAACACACCCTATAATTCTAAAACGGAATATCCATCCATCTCCAGCGTTTACTATTAAATTCGTTATGAAAATAGAGCTACAGAAATCTGCATTATTGTCTATCTTCTTTAGAAAGTGGAGTTTTCCTTTGAAAGCGTCCAATTTGACTCACTCTGTATGTATACAATGTGTACTCTACATACATAATGAGCTAAAATGTTATTGCATTTGAAGGATTGGAAATGAAATCCTCGTAATAGAAAAATAAATCTTAAATCCTTTAGGCATTTTATTATGTACAACTTACCTTTGTTTTGGAGTTTTGGTTAATTTTTAAACAGGTACACACATATGCACATAAAATAAAAGGAAATAATAAATAAAGTGGGTATTTTGTTTTAAAATTGGGTAGTTTTCGGGTTTTCTGTTTCAATAACAAATTAATTCTGATCAATAAATACAAAATATTCTATTTTCTTTCAGTTGTCCTAGCTGGTAAAAACGGAAAAACATACATAAGTCATAACTCCATTTGTTCAAATTTGGGACGCCCTGAGTTGCGTTGCAGAAACCGTATAAAAGTGCTACGGCCATTCTCACTTAATTCGTTACTCCCTTTTTATTAGTTTTTTCCTGTCTCTCGTCGTATACTGAGCTTATTACCCAGCCAGTTTAAGGAGCGCTCCTGTGGTGAAGTAAACCGGCACCCTCGATTCAAGTTTCATGCGGTTTTTACATGGCTGTTAGATAACAGGGTGTTATTTAATGCTGTCCGATATTTGGTATGCTTGCGAAAAGTGCCACGTTAAGATTGCTTGGTTACCCACGGTAGCGAGTCATTTGGGACATTTGCGGTACTTTGGTCACCAAAGCAATCGAAAATTTTCGGTACATTTTAGCTCGGGCTGCATGTACGCAACAAATTGATAAACTTCTTCAACCACTAGTACCAAATTGAACTCGTAATAAAAGTAGCGTTTTTCCAACTTGCTGCAAAGTATCCTTCAAAAACACCTATAATCACCACTGGCATTAAGCTAAATTTTAGATTATATGAGATATATTGTTTTAAACGACCATTTCCTTTAAATTTTTCTCATTGCGGGCAAACTTCGTATAGGGTTTTTTTTTTTCGTTCCTAATTCCTCACAGCAAAAAGTATAAAAAATTAATGAATATTAAAATAAAGAATATTAAATTCTTTCTTGAACTAATTACCAAAAAAAACGACTGATATTACATTGCATTTACATTTCATACATTACTTGACAAATTGGGACGGTAGTGTGAAAAACTCGACCATAAATCTATTCGAAAAAACGACGCCCTGTACATTGATAGATACGTACACATTCCAAAATGTTTCTTTAAGACTAATGCGTATATGGAAAATAATACGAATTCACTCTACCCGTAAGGTCAAATCAATTACATATAATCACGAGTTTATGTTAATGCTAAGAAATCATTTTGGGTTTGTTTAATTAACTAGCCGAAATTAAAATCGATAAATATGCAAAATGCCGTTGAGAAGAAAATCTAACTGTTGATCTAACAGTTGTTCGCGAACACATTCGCAACAATAGCAATGTTGACCAACGGGACTTAAAAAGAAAACTATGCCAAGCAATTAAAAAAAGTGAAAAACTTCGGAAATCGAAATACAGTATACAAGTCTACAGTCTATTTTTGTACCACTTAATGTGTATCGGATATCAATACTTCCAAACATTAAGCTTATCGCTCAAATCTATGTTTATGATTATAAAATATTTATACAATAACCGCCACATATCCTTACAAAAGAAGGTTTGATACTGAGAGATATTGTCTTCGTAAAATCAGGACTACTGCATATTATCAAAATAAATAACGTGAATTTCCTTAGAACAGTGTTTTACTGGCTCATAGAGAATAGTGCTTGAAAGAAAACATATTCTTTCCTCTGCTACGCCCTAGAAGCGCAGACATTTAATTGCCAGGAGATTTACGAGAGTTTTGTTTGGAGACTAATGTCAATCACATGTCAGTTTCAAATTTCGGAGTTTGAAGCCCTTCACACTTATGATAATATAGAACAAAAGACAATATTTATTCAAGTATACGCCACTAATTTTCGGCCCATCGATTAAACGCATTATTTTTTGAAACAATAAAATGGTCCGTTTATAGAACTCGAATTAAAAATATTATATTTGCAATTTAAAGTGTTTACCAATTACAGGTTTTTAGAGGCCTTTTTACATTATTCACTTTTAAATTTAATATCGAATATCTACTTAACAAAAAACTTTAGAATGAGACTGCTAGCAATGTGGATTGTTTTCACATTTGATAAAGACACGGTGTTGTCGAAACAATTGTCATGTCATAATATATAATTTCGTGAAAATCTGAACTTTTAGTTCTTATTTATTTTGGATTGTTTTCTTTGTTATACTCATTAATACTAATGCCAGGTAGGTGATTGTGTGTGTGTTTAAGTTATTTCTCAATTTTTCTGCCTTTCTTTGAATTAAGTGGTTATCATATATTTTGGCTATTTTCAACGGTGACAATCTTTGCGTTTGTAGAACACATGTCATGTAATGTCATGCAGGTGTCAATTAATAAATATTTTTTAAATGTAAGTAATTGTATGTATATGTATACTATAAGCAAAATATCACTTTTATTAAGTACAATTTTTTCTACATAAAATTAAACATATGCATAAAACATATACTTAAAAACATTTTCAAAATATTTTTAATTATACAGTAATAGAAAAATATATATTTTTACATAAAACTCTTTTTTTTTATATTCTGATACTTTATAATATCAAAAATGAATCTTAAGGTAGTACTAAGGATTCAGTAGATGATTTGATGTTGCTTTATAAATAAAACATAATTTTTGGAGTTATAATAAATAAAAATATAATTATTCCCATATATATAACTAAAACAACTAAAAAATATATAAAAAATTTTTACTTATTATTGATAGAAATCAAAAGTAAATTAAATTGCTTGTAAAATTTGTAAGTTATTTAAGTAATTACTTTTGAAATACTGAAAAAAAAGTACTTAAAAAGATTTAATTTTTTAAATTTAGATTACTATCAAATTAATTTTATGTACATGTTTAATAAGAAAATATATTGTTTGATGGTAAATAATTTCAGTAAGAATATTTCGGTAAATCAAAAAACCAGGACACCCGATTCATCCATTTAATTAAAAGAAATAGTGTTCTATTGTAAAATTTGCTGCACTCACGCCGTTTATGAATGAGTGCGCAGTACTATATCACGCATTGCGATTTAAGATCAGACTTACGTTCACCAAGAGACAAAATTTACACCCGTTCCCACCAGAAACCCTCCTAAAAGACGTTTCGACAGGTGTTCACCTCCGGGTTTCGGCTGCAATAAGCGTTGCTCCGCCTTCAGAGACGACGACATTGCCGACGACGTAGAATGCATACGTAGAATATTCAATGAACACAAAAGACTATCCGGTGATGGGTTCAACGCCTGGGCGGTCTACCCCCTGTATTGCAGTGGCGACAACTCGCAATTCCTGAAGGGATGCCCTGACGGAGACGGCGATGGCGTCAACGCCATCCAAAACCAAATTTCAAGTTTCGTGGACGAATTTGATGACGGGTATGAATTTCCGCCGCTGCCGTCGCCAAGGGTACCAAATGCAGAGATTATGTCATTACCCACCACAACGTATCGAGTTGAAGAGAAGAAATCAACAACGGCGGTACCGTCAATCGCAAAGGGCATACCTTCGGATACCTTTACGCTGAACATTACCTCCAAACCAAAAACTAATTTTACCATTACAACCAAAGCGATCATCAACGAGCATCAGTTTATTACACCTCGAAATAATACCACCGAGTCAGCGGTCACCAAAAAGCTATTTTCTACGACCACTTCATCACCAGGGATACCTTCGGGCAAGCAGCTCACATTTCCGACGTATTTCCCTTCGTGGTTTCAAACTTTACCGCCTGCCCCGCCTAGACCAACGAGAAGAACGACACAGAGGCCGGGATCCGAGTTAGCAACCACGTTCAGACCCGGATTGGGACAACAGACCACCAGGAGACCGTTGCTTAACAGACCGGGGTTGCCATTGCTTAGCGGAGCCAGACCGTTCAACCAGAGACCTTGGCGACCATTTGGCTCCATCACGACGAGTCAACTGCATCAGTTGGGGTCCGAAACCCAGTCGTTTAGTGCCTTGCGCTTCGAAGACGATGAACCAGATATCATGTTAGGTTCAGATTATATTTTTCGTAGAACTCAGTTTGGCTATCGCCTCTACAGAACAGTTTAGATGAATTGCGAATGCATTCTGTACGATATGAGACTGAACGTTGGATAAGTTTAGGTTTAGGCTAGCTTAAGGCGCATGATTTTTGTCAATAAAGTGCCTTGTATTTTACGAAGCGTTTATCGTTCACAAACCATCACTCCCAAACTCGAAGCTAGCTTCAAACTTGAGACTAGTTTTAACCTCTGGGTGGAGTTAATTCTACAGGATGGCTGATCGGAAAGCATGACTGTCTGGATGTTTGCCATGGGCCACCTTGTAGCATCTTCTCTTTTTCACTTGATTTAACTTGCCAGTCATAATTAATCGAAGTTTGTTAACATGTTGAAGGCGGACCAGTTTTGGTCTCTTTTCCCCATTTGCTCTACGGCGACGAGAGGTACCTCCGCGGCGTCGAAGGTATGCGACCTGAAGAGGGTTTACACGAAACGTTCGTTCTACTGGAGCCGGTAAGTTTGTGTGATTTCGGCGTATGTGTGTTCTTTATTTTTTTATTGTTTAAAATTTTGGGTTAAATTTCATAAAAAGCGTTCCATAACAATATTCCAATATTTACGTTTGCTTCATCTCGTAAACATGTAAGAAATGGTTTAAAAAATGTGTGGTGTGAAAACTGATTAGTATAATAATAAGCAAATCTATGTCAACAGGTTTACATCCAAAATAATGAAAATACAGTACGAAATACAAGAAAGCTAATTACTCGCACACGTTATACGTTATAAGCTCTGCCCATGAACCAAAAAACCGTCAACAATCTCACGATGTCACATGTCTGAAGCAATATCGAAGTTACCAAACATAAACAAAATGGGCTACTGATATAAAACATTTGTCCTAGGCCTCAATTGTGGGAACGTAAAATTTTACTTTGCTTAAAAGCTGCTCAGAGTTCACCGTAGTATGCAAGTATACAGCATTTTTAAAGAATTAATGTTCCTCCTAACCTCCAGAGATGATTCCCCGAACCTCCGTAATAGTACACGATGGTCAAATCCTCTGTGAGGATATATATTATCTTCCTTGAAAACTGAGTATTTAAGGAAGCGTCTCTGGATCAACTCCAAGCTATCTCACTCACTTAATCGATCAATAACATTTTTTACACAATTTTCTAGAGTAAGCACATTACACTTAGAAACATTTAAATCTAATTGATTAACCAGACACCATTCTGATATAACATTAATGTTATCCTGAAGCATCTTCGTTAGAATTAATCGTGCGATAGATTTTTAAATCGTCAGCATATACTAATTTATTATAATTTAACATAACAATTAGATCATCAATAAAGATGTCAAAAAGAAAAAGTCTTAAATTTGACCTTTGTGGTTCCTCTGACGTGAGATGAAATACTAGGGAGCTAAGATGTTACGATCTAATAGATAGGATTTCAGCAAGTTTTGTAGCGACAACGATATACCAACATTGTGATGCTTTGATAATAAAATATAATGATGATGATAAGGTAATGACCTAAATCATCAATTGAGTCAACGTTGCCAGATCGCTTGTGCGCGACTAATTTGAAACAAAACGGTGTTGCTCAACGCTAACATATTCGTAAATATTATCTATTATTTATTATATATTGATATGGGCCGACAATTTTCAATTACTCTCGCGTCATCTTTTTTAAAAACAGGAATAACTTTGACAATCTTCCACAACTCAGGAAACGTAATGATAGTGGTATTGAATATGTGAGCAGATAGACAAGCGAGAACACTGATAGAATCCTTAACAAAGAAGCTAGGGACGCCATCAGTACCGGCTGTTGCTTTAGCTTTCGGTTTTTTACTGGCGTTAGTACCTTGCCTTTTAATAGCTCCAACAATAGTAATGTGATGGTGCGTTGAAAGAGACATCACACCTGCAAAATTCTTATGAGTAAACGCATCTACTATGGTTTGGGATTCTATAAAAGTTTGTGATTCTGGAGCTATTTCTCTTCGATTGAATACATGACCAAAATTTTGAGGGTCACGTCGTATATTCAAGTATCTTTAAAAAATGTAGAATAGTAAATTCGAAATTGCTGGTGATATACAGTGTGTTTATTATTAAAATAATTAACTTTCAACTGAAATAATTGGTATATAAAAATAATTATAATATTATATAGTCTTTCTTTAGTTGAGACGTGAAAAAAATCAAAGTCCGTCTCATTTTTAATAAGGAATCGACATCCAACATAAAATATGAGGTATTCCATTTCATTTTTAAGAGTTCCTCCCTGGCCTCACAAAACTGTTTACATGCAACTCATATAATATAATTTTGAAGACAAAAACATTTTGTGATAAGACTTTTTTCGTAAATCAATCTTTCGAGATAGATAGGGATAGAAGGTATATGGGACATTTACTGTGGCTGTTTTTAGATCACCGGGGCGCCCTTAAAGGTAATGAAACGAGTACAATTCAACATGTTTATAAGAAGTATCGATGGCATAACCGCTTTAGAAAATGTCACCCATTCGTTGATGCCGGTGTTTTGGATAGAAGAGGCAAGTATTTGCATTTTATTTGGCATTAGCATTTATTTTTTATTTAACTTCGCATTTTTCTTTAATAATATACAATGCCGTTTCTTTTTTTAAATTAACAAAATAGAGTAATTTCGGATTTGAATTTTGGTATAATACAACATTTTTAAGATATAATATATAATAGATCGTGGATTATAGGTATATAAATTATGTCAAATATACTATTCTTATTTGGCTACTACATGTAAACTTATTTTTTCAATAATTTCGCATCGCACATCGTTAGACCACGCTAAAGAATGGGCCATCACATTAAAGAAGCGATATCTGGTTGCATACCTCATTGGCGAATGCGCGTGCGCGGTTGGAAATACTTCCGAGATTGATAGCTCTCCTCGAACGTATGTTTTTTTAAAATTATTATTAATTATTGGAAGTGAATTGCAGTAACATCCAACACGGTCGTAAGGACGTCCATAAAATAGTTTATTTTTGCATGGAATCTTTAAACAAAGTAGCTTCATAATAAATAATAAGTACTAAACCTAACTGTCCTATTATTTGTGGAATTTATTCTTTCAATAAACAAAGTAAAAAATGTTTAAAAAATAAATGAAGAAGTAGCTAAAAATTTTTTTTATTCATATAGGTATTTTAAAATGGCCTCTCTCGGTCAATAGCCAAATTTATAAAATCTTCAGCGGGTTTTAAACTATAAATATAAAATTATGTTAACTAGGAACATTTGAAAAATGATTTTGCCTTTGTAGAAGCAAAATATAAGCAAGACAATATATTTCTGCAACTGACAAATTTTGAGCGGAATTTTGAAAATATAAATCCATTTTTTGTTTTATAAAAAGCAAATATTTTTGTGTCGAATAAGGAGGTACACAGACCGTACTGCCCTGTTGCAGATATATTATTAGGATTGAATAAGAAATTCAAAAATAAAAATAAAAATTTCATCAAACGAAGTGCGCAGGTTGTAACGCTTTCAATTTAACGCGGTTGGAAATGATGTTCAAACACTTTGTTTTTTTAACTTGCTAGCCCATCTTGAACCACTTTTATATTGTAAATTATAATAAAAAAAAACTAAATCACATAATGAAACGGATAGCTTAAAAGTAACCGGAATTTTTATGCTTCCTTTCCGTGATGATTCACCGATCTCTCGGTTTGCTGCCTTATTGTAGAAGTCGTGCGTGCTGATTAAAACAGGAATGTTTACTACAACTACTTATTTTGATATCGAAAAGTAATAAAAAATAAAGTTGTAAATTCCCTAGAAATTAGAGTGAATACTTTTATTTGATTAGTTATCTTATAATTATAAAGAAAAGCAAAACAGTAACGTATCATAATTAATATCACTTTTATTTCAAAAATAAAATATACAAAGCAGAACTCAACTCAAAATAACTATTTTTATTTAAGTATACCTACAATAACATCATAAAGCAACATAAAACAAAACAATAATAAATACAATGGTTCGAATTCGTTCTTATCAATATATACCCAACGTTCTTTGCACTGTCCTAGATTATTTTCGTTTAATCCACCACTCTCTTTTTATTAGTTTCCTTTATGGTTTAACCCCTGGAGTATATTATAGGATGCTCGTTTATGCTTTTTAGTCGCTAACTCTTCCACAAAGCTACCTGGACGCAATCAAGTACTCGGCCATAAAAAGCGTTTTCATTCTGAAAATAGTCAGATGGATCGTCGTCGCTGTTGGGATGTCCCTCGTATTTATTTCTCTGTTCATGTTTTTTTATTTTAAGTAAGTTATTTGTTTCCCACGCCTCCTCTTGCATCTGTTCAGTGGTCTACGTTATGAATTTGTTTTCCAGGTCGTTTCCATCGGTTAAATTGAAAATATAATCGTTGTCGAGTATCTACAGAGTTTTATTTCGTTAAGATTTTGATGTTGCGCATTTTGTTTAAATCCCGAGATCACGCAGATTACGCAGCGGGATAATCAGTTAGAAATTTACGCTGATTTTAAGATTTTCCGTATTTACGTTGCTAATCCGATTTAAGCAAACGCGCAAAACCTTTGAGTCCGTCGTATTACGTAACCCACTTAAGTAAACAAGCGTAGGTGTATCAATAGAAGTTTAATCCCGCTTCTGACTATGCATCTCAACTGAATCTTTTTGAGAAGCGCGGAAAAAAAACTAACTAAATTATTTACTACCGAAACTAGTAAAAACAAAACGTTTTTTTGGTCAAATTTTAACCAACATTAACACTCGAACGAAATTTTATTTGCTACTTTTTTGCACAAGTTACGTATATTACGCAGATATTAAGCAGATCCTCTTTCACGTATGCCCGCTTGACGCTGCTTCAGATATCCGTTTGCAGATTATTATGCGTTCCTCTTTGATTGTTGTTTCCGTAGGTATTGTATCAATTCAAAGAGAAAAATAAAGAACAATGTATGCGCAAGTAATTGGTATTCGTAAGCTACTCTGCATGCTTACACTCTCTGTCATGACTCATTCCAATTGCCACCATCAAGTGCCACCAGAATAGGACATTGACATTGTATTTTGGTACAGGACGGCATTTCTTCTATGCAATTCTATAAAAACATAACCAACATAATAAAGCAAGTTTCCTTCAGAGAAGCACGTGTCGTAATTAGTACAATTCCTGATTCGAAGAGCACATTGAGGACCAGTCCGGTGAACTTCAAATTATGACGACTATGACCCAGAAGATGATGTTCCTTTTTCAATGATAAAGTCTAGAGTAGTGAATTCACAGGATATAAAAGGGAAGGGGAAACCAATCTAAATTCGCAATCGCTTTTTGTAATTTATGTGAGATTTGATGGTTTTGGCATTGGCTAACCCATAAATATGGACACTGTTGCTTGTTAAAGACAGGTGGAGGTCGTACCAATTGCGTTTCGCGCCCTAATTTTATGAATAACTATTAATTTATTAAAATGTGAAAAAAATTGATGCGCCTCAGGCGATATTTTCGTACAGAAATTTCACTAACCTGCACTCTCTATCATCTTCTTCCTAAACGGCCATCTCCATACACTTAATTCGTTTTTCATATAGCTTAAATATTTGAGATAAGAAAACTACCGAACTGACGAACTGTCAGCGGCCATGTTGATCACTGAACGCCGCCAGCAGTTATTGGTTAAACCTGTGATTTGAAATTACGCACGCATTATCAGCACGGATTATCAGCACACCTATATGCCTAGTAGCTGCATATATGTTTTCGTCATTGAGTTATCTCATAGAAACATCCAATTTTACCGACTCTGTGCATATGAAAAGCAAAACGACTCGTAAGTTTTGTTTCTCCGTTTCGAGCGTCCGCAGTTCAGTTAGGCGCGATAGTACCGGTTGACAATTAAAGTAAACATAATCGTTAAACTATCGATGCATTCTAATGGCGTGTTTAAATTTTGTTGCGATAGTATTGCCAAACTCATTAGTACGACAAAATCCTTATCGACAGGTTCGCTTATTTTACAGCAAAAGAGCCAAATAGGTTGTGGCAAAATAATTTAAAAGCAAAGTTTCGTGGACAGTTATTGCGTATCTTTGAGAGCCAGAGTGGAGCTTTCTGATATACCCTTCCGATTGAAAAAAGTAACAAAAAAGTGGATCCGTTATCGGCTTACTGTAGTTCAGGGCGAAAGTTCGAGGAGTGAATCGAGTGTTTTTTGTTTTGAAGTGTGTACGTCGCAAGGAATATTAATTAATAAAATCAAATGCCCTAAACAAGCGTAACACTTTCCTGGCGTTTTCACTATCTAATAAAATATAATTCGAAAAAATATGGTAATTCTAAAAGAACACTGAATTAAAACTAAAAGTTCTATTAACAAATGCGTAGTTTTCAAGATAAAAGGTGATGGATATTGAATAATTATTGATTTGATTTAGATATTTGGAACGCTAAGATCTATAAAATTTGAATGATTCAAAAACAACTTATAATCTCAACAACTGCAATCTACCAAACGTTTTTTTTTTGTTAACTTGAACATTGGCGTAGACATGGGTAAATTTTCTAAAATTATTTGAATTTTTGTAATATGTAATGAAACAATCGAATATTACGAAAACCAAATCAGCTGTCAACAGCTTGAAGTTAACAAACTCGTCTCAATTTTACCAATGAAATAGTTTTTGTATCCCTCACAGAGAAATTGTTTGCAAAGGAAGGTAGTTAAGTGCAAAATAGGCTCAATAACTAAAGGCCTAAAAATTTGATGTATATGGCCCTAAGTACAAGTTATTCCAAAAGTGAATGTAAAATCCTGAGCTCGCAATAGTAAGGCTCAACTCAAATCGCTTGGCAAAAGGAAAGTCATTTAAATATCTAAAATATATCAAATAAATATTTCTGAGTACTATAAGACGCGTGCGAGCCAGTGATTAATTGACTTCCCTGCGAGGAAAGTGGTTTGGACTAAATTTTAATGTGATGAGCTCAGGATTCTACAGTTAAAATTCATCGAATTATTACGGAAACGTCATACTTTGCATACATATACACCATAATAGGAAAGAAAATTTCGTCATACCCATGTTTTGTCATTATACACCAAAAATACAAACGGCAGAAAAATAATTGCCATTCTCGAAGGTAGAACATATGAAAATTTACGTTAAAACAAAATAAGAAACGACGCCGCAAGTGTTCCCTGATAATAATTTATCTTGTCGATCAGCTTCAACAAGACGATAAAATATCCAGGTGTCATTCATATACCCGGCACTGGTCCGAACATAATAGACAATATGTTCAGAAAGTTTTGGACACTTAAGGTATTATGGATTATTAATAGTGCATTCTTGGTGTTGCTCGGTGGGGTGCTTTTGTTCGGATTTTGGGGTTTACCCAGAATTATTAGCAATCAGCTGCATCAGGTAAGTGCACATCAGGGTACCGGTTATTTACTTCACAAAATCGCGTTTATCACATAATGAGTAGTCCCGGACTACTACAAGCACGCTTAAATACGTAATGCGTAACATTTTTTTCACAAACTGAGTTAACGTTATTGGAGGTGATCCCAAAAGTGCTGAAATTATCGCAGTGATGATTCTAATGATACTGCTTTTATATATGACCTATAATATAATATAATAAACAATAAATGATTTGAATTTTGAATCTTTCAAAGACTCAAGAAGCATTTAGGTTACGTAATAATCGTTTCTTGCGTGACAATATGTGTTTATTTAAATTTTAATGCATCTCACTAAGTTCAGTAGGCAGTAAGTAAAACTTCTTGAAAGCCTTGTATTTGGGCCGCTTAATATAGGCTCGATGCCATTTTCTCATGATAAACGAAAGAGTAGGGTTCGCTCTCTTTTGGTATTAAAAGTTTTTTTTACCAAATTTTCGAAAGTTGCCGACTGCGATTTAGTATTTTTTTCAATAAAAATTGTTTTATTACATCTGTTGAAGTATTGTTTATTTTTTGTTTAAATACTTATTCATTTTGGAAAGCCTGTTAATAAGCCCAATAATTCCTAAACAAAACAAACATTTAAAAATGCGTTAAAACGGCGTCAATAAACGCCTTGACGAGAGAATCAACATTACTATCAAATTTTTTACACATTAGTTTGAATGGCATCGAATATAGATTATTCGCGTATCCACTCACCACCATGCACAAAATAATATAAACTGTATTATCTTCGATAAACATATCAACAATAATCAATGGATATATTAAGTTGTCAGTTTTACCATTAGCTTAGTATCTACGAAATCAAAATATACGCGGAATCTTTTTTTTGGAAATTTCGCATTGCTCCCACTTGCAGCAATTGGAATTAGAGAAGGGTACCGAACAATGGGATAGATTCGTAGACTTGCCGTTTGCACTGAACTACACGATAAGATTTTGGACCGTACAAAACCCGTACGACATCATTAACCTAAACCAAACCCCCGTGCTGGAAGAATCCAAGCCTTACAACTATTTGTAAGTTAGCTTCTATCATGTTTAAAGTGACGTCATATGGACAATGTTTACTACGTTTCCGTAAGTACAAGTTTTCGTTACTAGATTCGGAACGTACTATACACATTTTTTTTTTAGTTTATATATTATATCTGCAGTATTCAGTTTTTGTTTCTTTAAATCATTGAAATAAAGATGCTGCTTTATTAGAAAATTTAAAATACTATAAAAGTAAGGACAGATATTATGTCACGCAACGTGGCCCTTCTCTCTGGCATGGCAACTTGTGATAACAACAAAAATTATTAATGATGACGTCACTTTAAATTTACGGTAAAAGCATTATACATATATAGCTGTAAAACTGACTCGATACTTGCAGTCTACATATTAAAAAGAAAAATATTACGACCAACGATTCAGATGACACTGTGACTTATGAAAGGGAACTTTCGTTTGAATTCGACAATTCTACAGACGCGAGAGAAACCGACGTCGTAACGATATTGAATCCAGTAATTTTGGTAAGCAAAGTAGAGTCCGTTGCGGAATTATTCGTTGATTTATATATTCAAATATAATTGCCTTTTTGTTGTTGTACAAATTCTTAATTTTTCAAAGAAACTTCCATAGGCTATTGTAATATTTTTTATAAAACGTCTGGGTTCCTCCTGCGTCGGTTTTTGTTGACTCGAACTATCTAACGTTGCGCCAATCATCCTGTTGGCTTCTTCAGAGCTTAACTAATTCAGTTTCAGTTGTACAACATCTTGTAAAGACTTTCGACTACTACTAACTCAAAAACGTCGTCAAATTTTTGGGCTGCTTTACACCCCACCAACTTATAAACAATAATTTCAGGATAATTGGCCACTTTTTCCTCTTCTTTTTTTAAATTTTAAAGTCCTTGAACAATATGTGCCAACTTCTTGGACTAGAAATTGAGTGAAAAGTGATCCATGTAAAACCCACTTTATACTCGTGTATACGTGTACTTTATTACTCTCGTTGCTGTATAGTCATCTCTTCAATTGACGAACACCGTAGAAAGACTAGCGTGGTCAGGCTGTGTGGAGAAGCTGTACAAAAGAACAGAAACCGACCAGATTTTCATCAACAAAACGGTGCGGGACCTGCTTTTCGACGGCATTATTTTCGCGGAAAACGACGAATCGGTAGGAGTCGCGTGCAGTATTGTCCGGGAGCGTATAATTAAACTAGTGGAGAATATACGACCCCTAGAGTACATCGAAGAAAACAATGGCACCAGGAGCTATATTCGCTTTTCATTTTTTAATTATGTAAGTCGCCACTACTAATCGCGGTCGGAATAATTAAAAAGGTAATCAGTCAATTTGTATGCTTTTATAACAGCGAAATAGCGAAATAAGGGATTACAACTATATTCTGTGTGGTGCGATGGCGTGACAAAGTTTAATTTCTCCCTTATTTAGTACAATATCGAAAACATTTTTTAACGAGTGCTGCATAAAATCGAAAGACATTTTCAATTATACAGGGTGTTCCGTAATAGCGTGGCAATGCAAAAATATATTTTTTAAATTGGAACCTGCTGTATAGAGAGAAATTGACACTGTATTCTTTGTAATTTTAATGCGATGTTAAAAATTCCAAAAACATGCTTTGTGGGTGTTAGCTATTTTAGAGATATGGATGGATAAAAAAATAAATAAACACACTCTAATTGATGAAAGAAAATGTAAATATGTATATACTAGAAAAAATGGAAGCGCTAAAGCTGTTAAAAGAGAAGCTGTAGAACCTTTTTGCCTTATTGTTTAGAAAAAGTCAAGAAAACTCCAATAATTCCTGAAAATGGAATGATTTATTAGAAAAATATATTATTAGATTCTCTACAAATAAGGAAGTCTAGTAATCTACATCACTTTGACCTCCTAGACAGAAAGCTTTTTTAAAAAAAAAAAGCATTTCAATGGTTCTAAAAAACACAAAAATTAATATAATCAACATTCTCCAATTCTCTAGTTTTTTGTGTGATACATGGAGGAAAATATTGACTTTGTGATGTGCCAAAATAGACTTTCAAATACTGCTTCCATATACCTCAAATTATAACGCACGTTCGTGCGCAACCCAGAAATGTTGTACAAGGGGGCAAATTTTCACTTTTACTTTAGTTATATTAGTCGTGCGAAATTATCCAATGATTGGTATCGCTCTCTTTCCAGAAAACAGGTTCCTATCAGAAACCTAGAACCGATGGAATTTATACAATCAGCAGAGGACGGGACGATTTGTCCTTACTTGGGAATATATTGCTTTATAACGGCGACTCGCACCTGCCGACCTGGGGAAATTCGATGTCGACAAACAACGAAACTTGCAACAGGGTGAGGGGCACAGATTCCACGATATTTTCCCCCAATAGGAAAGAGGGCGATACGCTGGATAATTTCAATTCGGATATTTGCAGGTAGGGACCGTTTATTACTACATATAAACAAAATGCATTCGAAATTAGGGTTCTAAACTCACAGTGAGATGTATTCTGAGGTTAGGAGAAACGAACCACAGCTTTCGCTTTAACGAAGAGCGATCAAAACAACGCATTAAGGAATTAGTGGAAGCACTTATTTATTAACGAGGCGATAGCTTCCTGGAATACGTATAAATAAAATCAATAACTTTGTTGCTTCTTTTCATTAATTTAGCATGTAAAATGAATAGGTAAAAATTTTTATTGTAGATCTCGTGCGCGGAACATTACAGGAACAAGCGCTTAATTAATGCATGCATTTTTCGTTAATACATATCTGTTAAGTCCAGCTTCGCTTTTCCTCCACCAGATGAGTAACATGGACCATTCATAAAAACAACTACATTTCGTGGACCATATAAGCATCACTAATTAATAAGAGATCATTTCTAAAAGTTGGCCTATTATGACAGTCTGCTATTTAATTATTTAATTAATTTAATTATTTAAAACAACAAAATCAATTTGGGTGATTCAAACTAATCACCTTCTGAATAGAATAGGATAGAATCTCAATGTTATTGCAGCATGTCAAGAGTCTACTAACAAATAACAAGCCTGTTTGAGGCTCTCACACTCACACTCTCACTATATTTTCAACTTTGGCTCGTGAGATTGTATTGGTGTATAAATAAAATATTACTGACTCGGAATCTCCTCAGGAGCGCTACTACAAAACAGAATAAAACTAGTAAATATTAATTTGAGCAAAATTTATTGTAAGGTCTCCATTCTCAAATAAACTATGCAACTATAATAATGTGTGATTGCTGCATAAAACATCACTTTAACATACATATCACCTAACACAAAGGAAAGTACATAATGTTGTACTAAAGCATGTGCCAAAGTTTATTACCAGTACTTTTCTAAAGAAGTGACAAGATCTTTTGGATTGGTGTTTGGGCCATGCCTTTCTGCGGGTTGCCCATTCTTATCCACAATAAATTTGGTAAAGTTCCATTTAATAAAGTCTCCAAGGGTGCCGCCCTGCTTATATTTCAAATATTTGAACAATGGATGAGCGTCACTTCCATTTACATTGACTTTATCAAACATGTCAAAATTCACATTTCTTTTGGAAACAAACTCGCATATTTCCTCGTTGCTGCCTGGCTCCTGACCGCCAAACTGATTGCAAGGAAATGCTAATATCCTCAAACCTTTTGATTCGCCATACATGTTAAATAACTCCACCAGTTCTTCATAGTTGGTTTTTGTATAGCCGCACTGTGAGGCCACGTTAACGATAATGCAAACGTGGCCTTTGTATTTTTCCAAAGACACTCCGTTACCTTTTATATCTTTCGCTGAAAAATCGTAAATCGATTTCGCCTCTTTGTAATTATCCGGATTGGTCATGATGGGTCCTGACGTTGACACCGCTGCAGCGGGCGTTGCTAAAGAACGAATGAGTTTTGACAAACTCGTAATTCGTCTTGGAACTTGGAAACATTTGTTTGTACTGATGAGAAGTATTAACAAACAGCGCATATTCACTTTTTATTATTAGATTTTGAGGTTATAAACAAATAACAGACCATGGACGAAAAGCAAACACAAAACACAAATCACACAGAAATATAATTTCATCCTCAAACTTTCTTCTATTTGCCCAATCGTGCTTAAGTACATATTCCAAAAGTAAAAGTTTGAACTTTTACTTTTACCAAATTCCTAAAAAAAATTGAAGCACTATTGCCACGCATTTTCTAATAACTGTGCAAAAGAAAGATGAATCGATTGTGTTGTTAAGTATTGGAACAACGTGTTAGGAAGGTTAAAGATGAAAGTATTCTGTGTCTTTACCATTTAATAATATAATCTGTGACTAAGACGCTTGTGAGGTTAGCAAAATGCCGCCAAAAAAGAATGCAGCTCAAGAAACCAAAAGTTCCGGAGAAAGCGTTTCAAAAATGACGCTGAGGGAACGTAAACCGTCAACACAAGCGCCAATCAATAATAAACCCAAAAAAGTAAGTGCAAAAAAGCGAAAGGCGAAAGAAGAAATCAAAGCTGTAACACCCAAGAAGAGGGAGGTTGATACCGAAGTCGACAATGATTTAAGTTCCAAATCCGAAACAATTTACGAATTCAAAGCAAAAACTAATAGCGGCGAGGAAGTACCTTTGTCTAAATATGAGGGACATGTGTGTATTATAGTAAATGTAGCATCAAAATGTGGTTACACCAAATCAAATTATGAACAGCTGGTTGAGTTATATAATAAGTATAGCAAAGATAAAGGCCTCAGGATCCTTGCATTTCCTTGTAATCAGTTCGGTTCTCAGGAACCTGGCGATTCTGAAAAAATTTGTGATTTTGCTAAAAAGCGAAAAGTTACCTTTGACTTGTTCGAAAAAATTACCGTTAATGGTAAAACGGCGCATCCTTTGTGGAAATTCTTAAAATTGCAAAAGGACGGTCCAAAGGGTGAAGACATTGACTGGAATTTTACCAAGTTTCTTATTAACAAGAAGGGCGAGGTTGTGGAACGATACAAATCTTCTGTGCAGCCCAAGACGCTTGTTAAAGAACTGGAAAAACTTTGGTAGCTTTAGGTTGCGGTTTCATTTTCTTTTGTAACGTAAATGTTTATATATTATTTATTTTTTTGTTGTTTCCAAATACTTTAATATTTGTTTTCTGGTTTAATAATAAATAAATAATAAACGAATATCTTCATAGTGTTTGTTACTTTGGGCATAGATTGTATTTTAATACATTTCCGCAAGTTTCCTCAAACTTGCCAATTCATTGACTGATAATTTAAATAATAAAAAGTGTTGACAAATTCATATGTCTATTTAATTTTTATAATTGTAGTTTCTTGGTTCCGTAAAGAAATTAGATTGTCATACTCGTCAATTATAACAAAAAAGACTAGGGGCAATAAAAGTTAAACGTCGTTATTACAGGCAAGGTTAAAACTAAATTTGTTTCGAAGACAACTCCAGTCTCAGAGAACGGAAATTAAAATAATGTATCTACCCTTATTCTTAATCGCTTTTGTTCCTAAAAGCATAGTTAAATAGTTAAAAATGTACAAGTTAACAGAGAAACCTTAAAATTAAAACAATATGGTCATTTAAAATTGGTTTTCCAGAATTGTAAACATAAAATTCGTCTCTTCCGAAGAATCGTATCTGGGAATCAACGCGTACCGTTACGAAGCCACGAACACGACTTTTAGACCGGAAACGTCGAATCCGGAAAACGACTGCTTCTGCTCCAAGAGCGTAACAAACATAAACCACGACGAGGATTGTTACTTAGACGGCCTGTTTGATTTTAAGCAGTGTTTGGGTAATGACGTTTACTCAAACACCACTACGAAATCGTAGCATATTTTGTTTACAGGTGCTCCTGTCTTGGTTTCGTTTCCGCACTTTTTATACGCCGACGAGAAGTATCTGAACGGCGTTAAAAACTTATTGCCAGATCCGGAAAAGCATAAAATTTTTTTACTCATCGAACCGGTAAGACGTGTGATATGGTGACGTCATCGTTTCTTTTTCGCGTTTAGTGTATATTAGTTGTGTATTGGAGATTTTAACAAGGGAAAACTTAAAAAAAAAACACTCTGTTAATGTTCTACTAGAATTTCGCCTCGACCTGTGTGTCTCAGTTTTTTGATGAATACATTTTAATTTTAAGCTTGAGATTTTTTTAAAGGATAAGGATAATTTTGATTATTATATTGAAGGCGGAGTTTCAGCAGAATGTGATATATGATGATTTAACGTTTCAGAACACGGGCACCCCTCTACAAGGTAGAAAAAGGATTCAGCTAAACTCCATTTTGAGACGCGAACCGCTTATTCCACAAACCCCTGAGAACATGACCGAAGCTGTATTCCCACTGCTTTGGATAGAAGAAGTACGTATAACCCATAGATGAATTGAGTGTAGAGGTAAATCGTCGCTGGCAACATCACTGTTGAAACCACTGTTCTGAAGCTTTGACCCTTTTCGTTTGGCGATCAAATTATCTGATGCTGGTCAAAAATCTCATAACCGTCAGAGGAGTGATAATTTTACCATGCTTTGCAGTCTCTATATTCAATTTATCTATGTTTGGTATAACCATAATAATAGTGCAGTCGTGTCAACGTTATTTTTCTTGTGCAATTTTTAAAGGGGTTTGATTTGCCCGAAGAGTACGTTGACAAATTAAAAAGGCAGTACTTCGACAAGGTGAATTTGGCCACTGGTGTGAAGTTCGGCAGCATAGCAGTGTCGTCTGCCCTTCTGACGATATCGACCTTCTTCTTGGCGCGAAAATTATTCATAAGGACACGCCCTTCGCATAAAACCAAATAATCCATTTAAAATATATTTTTGTACTCAAGAACATCGATCGCCTATCGACTTTTTAGCGATATTATGTCCCACAACAGCGTATATCCTTCGTAACTTTTATTAAGACTGAGCTTCATATACCTATTTTTCTATGTGATCTACATGTTTCCAAAATTATTTTAGCAATTTCGAAAGTTATGGTTATAAGGGAAGGTGACGGTTGTATGTTGAATTTTGCTGCAAATTCCAAGTATATAATAAATTCAGACTTTTTGTTGTTTGACAAGTACCCCAAAATTGACAGTTTCGGTTGATAATACAAATTCAATTGAATTTGCCGAAGTTTAGAACCTCTTCATTTTTAATTGTTAACTGGGTTTATACGCAAAAATAAAAATATGCCACAAAAGCGTCAGGTTTAGTCCGAAGTTTTTTGGATTCTCGGTAGATGACGCTGTAATCATAAAAAACAATTTATCCTCTGTTAAGAACTACTACCAGGTCAATGTTATGAATCTGACTTCAGTGTCATCGGACTTTTGTTTGAACATGTTTTTCCGACTCCTACTCCGACTCCCAATTATATTCACTAATCAGGCGTGCGCAAAGTCACGTTAAAACGCTAGTTTCCGACATTTTAGTCACCGATTAGAAGAGATCAAATGTTTTCAGTAGATTTAAATCACTGATGGTACTTCGATTTCAGTTCTGATGATCACATCACACGTGAATCATTTGCCAAAAAAAAGTAATGGTCGCGTAGCAAAAGTATAGTATGGAAAACGTTCAGATTCTTATTTATAAATGATTGGTGCAGAATTGGTTATTTTAAAATAGGGAAGTAGAAAGCATATGCTAAAAGGGATAATATTGACCCATGTATATCTTAGCAAACATGAAAAATGGTTTTTTGCGATTACAACGCCTTCTACGGAGAATAAAACTTCGGGCAAAACCTGGCGTTTTGTGGCATAGAATTCGAATCTGTATTAATAAAAAAATAGTGGTTTTCATGCTCAAAGTTGCCCTCCCCCCTATGCTAGTGGGTTGTGGTGGTGGGTCATATTTAGTGTTCTTAAAACATGTTAAATAGTTCTTTTCTTTATTACTCATTATTAAAAGGAATTATTCTTTACTAAATTGCCTAATTCCCAGGATATTAAGATAGGACATTTAATATGCGCATGCGTGGTCATTTGAAATCTTGTTTTCAACCAATAAAACCTAACCAAACAACCAACGTGGCCGCTGACAGTTCGTCAATTCGACAGGTTTCAGTTTAGGGATAGCATTTTTACTTCAGTATTTTCTCAAAATATGCTGGGAAAACGAGTTAAGTTAGAGACCTGTGTTTAGACAGAAAATGGCGCGAAATGCAGGTTAGTGTTCACATTTAGAAGCATGTCTACCAAAAAAAAAGCTGCCCGAGGCGAATCAATTTTTAGCCTACGAGGGCCCACTATGTTATCTAATAGCTATATCAAATGGATGTAGACAATAAGTTTATACATTGGCGAGTCTGTTTTCAAAGCGCTTATCTTCAAGCTAAAAATTATCTCAATGAATCGACCGTGTTTAATATTATTCACTAAATATTGCATCACTTTTCAAGTGACAATATTTTAGAATGCGTATGTAAGGAGTGTATGAGATTGGTTCAAAATAATTGGCCGTAGAAAGAGATAACAATTTCCTGTTTATTTCTAAAACCGATTTTTACTTTTGTGTGTATAAACTCAGGTCAAACCCAGTAATATCCACAAAATTAAAAGTCCATTTTTTGTAACCAAATACTATGAAATAAATTATTCAAAACCCGGTCCGAATGATTTAATTGGAATTAAACTGCAATGTTATTGAAAACGACGTATTTATTTTTCAAATAATAGGTACATATATGATTAACATATAGGCACTATAATTTAGGTACTTAACCAGTATAAAACTTTTGGAACTTGGTTGAACCCCTCACGTTGAGGGCTTCCAGATTTAGACTCACACACAGAGGGCAGCTCACTTACTAGTTATAGTTAATAAATAAAGTCACCCAACAAGCAATATAAAACTTCAAAACTTAATAAAAAATATTGAGATTTCCTTTAATGTTCGACGGCTTAAATAAATATTATAAGCTACATACTTATCGTGACTCAGGTCCTTTCCAAAACTGAAATTAAAGAATTTTCCGTTGTTTTAAATTCGTGTTGCAATATTGTCATTTCCCCACGGCCCCACGTGTTTTGGTAGTTACACATTAAATTTTTCAGGGGGGATTTCCGTTATTTTCCGAATAGGATTTCAAAATGCATTTTGATGGCAACGACCTGAGTCACATGGTATGCGTAGTTCTTGTCTGTGTGTGATTGTGCAAGGAACGTAGGTGAGGGAAAAGGATGTAAACCGGTCTCCCACTCCCGGAAGGGAGACCAAAAATAAGGCACAAAGTCTCAACGGTTCCTTTGGAACCATAAAAGCTTTTCGTTCGCCTCGTCCCGATCAAGGAACGGGATACTCTAACCGTCGAGCTCACTTAGACGCTAGAAAAATCACAAAACGTATAAAACATAAATAATAAATGAATGGCCAATGACGTTCTCACTACACTCGCAACGATAACTACCTGTAAGGTAATGAAAAATACTGAATTACAGAAATTAATTCTTTTAATTTTGACCGCTAATTATTGTCATTCTAAAAAATCTTCCTATTGCCCAGAGATTATAGTCTCCTTTTGTCAATATGTTTCCCAGTAGATACCTAGTTCATTCTGAATCGCGAAGATGTTTAAATATTGTTCTACCTGTATACAAAAATCACAGATGGAACTACAGTCTAATCTACAGTTAAATATTGTAACACCAAGGCGTCGGCGTATTCTAAATTCAAACTGTGCACCCAGAAGCTGCATTCTTTCCTTTCTTGATCCTCGAGTGCTTAAATGAAACAAAAAGGACAAGCGGATAGATAAATAAAAAGAACAAAATCGATATATTTTGATTGTCAAATTACCAGGAGCAAAAGATCGTCACGGAAATGTAATTTTAAAATTTGCGTATATGTCGCGTCGTGTCTATATCAACTTCAAACTCAACTCAAATCGTTCAGTTTGATTCGGGTTTCACGTATAGCATATTCTGGGAGCGCAGAGCGAATTCGCTAACTAATTCTAAACAGGGAATCCACCACTATAGTGGTCAACTATTTAAATTTTGTGCAGTGCGAGATTAAACCGGGTTTCAGCCGGCTGGAAACCCCCTTGTCGGTAACGACTCCCTGATCAGAGGATGGATTGTTGACGCCTCAGTGTCGTTTTATATATAGGCTCCCCCAGCCACTACGACGACAAACTTTCTATGATCTCTATAATGCTGACGTATGTGCCCGTGAGAAAACCGACAAGGCCGAAAAGCACTAACGCCAGGTTCTTGTACAACCGCCAGTTAAAGCTGCCCAGACCGGGGTCTTCGTAAAAGGTCACCAAGTCGATGATGGCAGGGAAAATAAGTCCCAGCATCGACAGACAGACGGCTCCGACGAGCGAGATGAATCCGCCTAGGTCGGGCACCACGATGGCCACCACAACGGTCAGGAAAACTAGGGAAATTCTGATGGAGTAATTAGCGAGGTTTTGTTTGCTAGCGCTGAAATTGTTTTTCAGCGCTTTCCAAATTATATCCATGGGCACGAAGAATTGGAGCGCGTAAGTGAAGAAGATCGCGACAGCGATCATCAATTTTACTGACTGGGCCAACCTGGAAAATAAAACACACGTTTTGTTAATATTACACGGAAAGGCGGGAATTTTCGTGAATGTTGATAGAACCAGATAATGTAATAAATAAATGTCACATTCATTGTTTTTCATTTTGGGTTAGTAGGTAACCTTGAATCTTATACTGCGCAGCGAGTTTTACATGGACAATTTTTCACATAATTTATTGGTCAAGAAGTGAATTTTAAACCGCTCTAACTTAAAGAATATTCAACATAGAAAATACAACCAGATTGTGTATGGTGTATGATTGATATTAGTCACTATTGTTGGGAGATACTACTTTATTTTGATGAAATTTTGGTCTCTGTGTATTGGCCAGTAAAAGTATTTGTGATACTTTTCTTTCGCAAACTTTACAGATTTCAAAATGCTTAAGTAAAAAAATTTTGACGAACAGAACAATATCAAAGTTACAGCAGTAGAATTTACACGATTACGGTCACTTTATACGATCATGAACGTTTGAAATAACGTCCAACTTATAATAATATATAACAACAATAACGAAAATAATATCGTAGTTTAAAGAGGTTCAAAACTAAATTTATGATGCCGAACTTTTAGAAAAAAAGCACTCGCATCGATCAACAGTTATATTAAAAATATATTAATTACAAAATAACTAGATATATCATAAAAAAGATCTATTTTTCTAAAAAACTATTTATATTTTGTAATTTTGTAGCAAAAAATTTCAGAATTTATTTTTGAAAAGAACCTAACCACAATGTAATTGTTCTAGCGCGACATCAAGCAACACCACATCTACAGCGAGGAATCGTAACGTTTAAGATATTTTGCGTTTTTTTCAACATATTTTGCGCAATTATATTTCTGGAAATTTCGTTTCATTTGTAAGATTGTGTTTGCAAAAGAATAGAAATGTGATGAAAGCATTAGGAATTTTAAAATTTCATGCGGAGGGTGAACAACTTATTTTATTAATCTTATAATCGTGACAAATTCAGTTACTTACACTTGGTCCTGGGGAAGGTTCAACGTGATGCTGCCTTCGGTAGCGTCGCCGTATTTCAGAAAGCCAAAAAATCCAGTGGCGGCGTATAGACACACGACAAAGAACATACCGATGTTAAGGACTCCCGGACACCCGATAAAGTGATGGGGATTTTTCATGTTGTTCTCAAGCGGCATGACTACGCCAATGCCTTCCAACGCGAAAATGGCGGTGCCGAAAAACACGGGCAGTTTGGTGATATGTTCGGCGGCCGGTCGCGAATCGAAACTGGGCAAATCAGAGAATACGTAATAGAAAGTGATGGATATACAAGTGGCGACGAGGATGTTGGCCACCATAGACAAGGGCGAAAGATACTTGAGATTTCTGATCATGTTAATCAGCAGAAGAAGCGGCAACATCGCGGCCATGTACAGTCTTATGTCGAAAACATATTCGGGGGGTGCATAAAAGTCGACCACTTGCTTAGTGTTCTTGGCGACGAACACTATGTATACGCAGCAGCAGCCTAGTAGATCTATCACGAGAAATAGGTTAATCATAGCTTTGGCAAATTTCGCCCATGGTTTGAAACCAGCTGGGCCGGCTAAGAAAGCGGCTTCGGCCACCTCGGCAAATCCCAGGGACGGAACGCGGGTCCTTCTGCATAGTTCTTGTGCGCTCTTCACCAATATGTGGACGCAGTAGGTGCAGATTACGCCTATGGCGAAGGTTGAGAAGAGGCCAAGGTAAAGTCCCGCGTGGGCGAACGCCAGCGGCATGGCCAAGATTCCGCTGCCCAAACTACCCTTAAGCAAATGAATAAGGGTGTCCATGTCCCTGAAAAATTAACACGGAAGTGTGCTGTTAACGGTGTATAGAAACTTAAATCTTAACCTACTTTTCACAAAACTTCTGGATTCCTTCTGCGTCGGTTTTTGTTGAGTCAAACTTGATAACGTTTCGCCAATCATCCTGTTGGCTTCTTCAGAGTTTAACTAGCCAACAGGATGATTGGCGACACGTTAGCAAGTTCGACGCAGCAAAAACCGACGCAGGAGGAATCCAGAAGTTTTGTGAAAAGTATTACAGTAGCCTGCGGAAGTTTTGTATTTTATTTAAATTGGAAGAGATGCCTTTTTTGTGAAATGTTACTGTCTAATCCTCCTAAAATACGCCGTTAATATTCGAATTAAATTGTCTTCGTAAACAGCAGTCAAAATTTAAGCTTTGTATCAGTTCAAATAGCAACTCAAACAAAATTTCAATGGTGTCATACTTCAGAGAAGTAAAAAGATAAATAATTAGAAGAAAGCAGGGAATCTAAAAACGTAATAAAATATAATAACATTTGAGATATTGACTTAGCCATACGTTGCAGTTAGTTGCGACAACGTTGCGTCATCAAAACTATTTAGTTTGACAGACCAGACTCGAAAACCAAGTATGATCTGTTTATAGATATAAGAAAGTGACCATTTATCCAAGAGTGATCATTACCATACAACAAGATTATTACCTAAAGTTTCTGAATTTAAATTCAGGTAAAATTGTGGTTCGTAATAGAAAATAATTTTATACCTACCTGTGTTTAATATTCTTTGTTTTGGTATACTACTTAGTTTAAGTTTATTAGTAATGATTCTTCTTTCGTGTGTAATACAGCGTGTATTGAATCGTGTGCGAATTATGCAAAATATGTGCGAGTCTAGTGTACCTCAGGAGATGCTCCCGCCCAAATGTAGAAAACACTATTCTATTGAGACTAAGGAAGTTATAAACAATGTTTATTTGACTCTCATTGAACGTGGTGCACGCAAGCAAGCATCTTTGGAACAAACGGCCACATTGACGAAAATTCCAACATTAATTGTATGGAAAATTGTGAATAATCCGATTTCAGCGAGGAAAAAAAAGAACGATGCTGATATTTTCTCGTGTGTAGATGAAAGTAATCCAGATATAATACGGAGTAAAATTTACGAGGAACAAAGCGTGCCTACATTAAATATCTTAATTAGAAGGCTTGAAAAAGATGAAATCGATGTTAAATGTGGCAGAACTACCTTATGGAAGTGTATTCAACACATGGGTTTTAGGTAAAAAAAAAATTGACAAAAGACAATTTTTAATGTAATCTTTTAGAATTCGGAAATGGCGACGGGAATATCTAAAAAAAAGGAGAGAACAACAAAGGCTTGGCTACTTGGATGAAACCTGGTTCGACACTTATGATACCCCGGAAATGGGTTGGGTTGACTCAACTGATAAGAGTAAAAGAGGTAAAAGAATAACTATTTTGCACGCTGGCTCTAAAGATGGTTGGATTCCAAATGGACTTTCTCTGTCTGCGAAAAATATTAAAGATTCTTCTCTGAATTACCATGAAGACACCACCGCTGATTTATTTGAAAGTTGGTTTAAAAACAAACTAGTTCCAAACATTCCTCCTAATAGCATCATTGCAATGGACAGTGCAAGTTATCACAGTAGACAGTTGACTAAAACCCCTTCATCATGTGACACAAAAGCAAAGCAACAATCCAAAACTACATGTATGAAGATTATACCAAAAAGCAATTAATTGAGGTTCTACAAAGCTTGAACCTACAAAAGGAATACGTCTGTGATAATTATGCAAAAAATCTAGGGCAAGGCTTCCACCTTACCACTGTATATTTAAACCCATTGAACATGTTTGGCACCAACTGAAATCTGCCATTCGTCGTAACAATGTTTTCCCCGTGTTAACTCCAGTGTCCTCAAATTATAGAAACCGAAGTTTTTAACATCTCTCCACAAAGTTGGGCAAATTCTGTTAAACATATAGAAAAAGCAGAACAATCGTATATCCATATTGCAAATAATATAGAACAAATAACAATTAGAACAGGCGATGATAGCGATAGTGATACTGATATATTATGTGAATAACTTTAAGTAATTTACGTAGGTACAAAAAACAATTTGTAATTTTATTTTAGATTTAAACGTAAATACACACATAAATAAATAAATATTGTTCAGTATCTTTCCTAACAAAACCCCAAATAATTAAATTCTAAGCAAAGTACGGACCTGTTCGACCATATTTCATTCTTACAGCTTGCCCGGGTCTTTTCTTAATTCGTATCAGTTAGTCACTTTCTTATATCTATGAACAGACTTTACCAAAAATTTTAAAAACAAACGTTGACCATTATTCGCAATCCTGACCTGAAGCTTGTATCAAGTGTACCGTTTGGGCTAGTTACAATTTATCAGCTGATAATCTCGGGAAAATCGATCTTGTTATTGATCATTCTATCCCTATAGTTTATACTTACGATGTTGGATGTTCCAGTTTCCTATGTTGTATCGGGTCATAGTCGCCCGCTTCGGGATCACGTCCCTTGGAATAGTCAAACAGGGGGACCGTTGATCCATTGGCGGACGCCGCTTGTACGGGCTCGCCAACCTTTTCCGCTTTATAACTGTAATTGAACAGAGATTAGTCGCCGTCTTTGCCGTGTCTAGGTCCGGTTTACATCGTGTCAACATTCTGAAGCGCGGAACGTAAACCGGACCTTAGGTTTAACGCGATTAGATGGGGAGGTGGAGGGTGTGGTTAGCGATCACTAGTATCTATGCGTGAACTGAACTGAACATTTAGATACTTGCGTATGTTTCGTGTATGTGTAGGTGTATAGGAACGATGATGGTACAGGGTTACCACGGTATGATGTCAGTTTGATGGTTAGGTACGTTTGTGATCTCAGCGTATAATTCGTTTTTGTCTACAATGTATTTTTCCTTGTTGCACTTATTGCAATGATTTAGTGAATATATCCGAATACAACTACTGAAATGAGAATCAGCGAGGTCACAGAAGACTGGACCGAGGTACACTTTCGTGACCAAAAACCGTCATTTTTTTTTGAGATTATAGAGATAGTAGTGCTTGGTTTTTGACGGCGTAGTGTTTTTTTAAACCTTCAGCTGCTTTCTGGGTTTTGGTTATGGTGCTGACACCATTTTGAACGATGGATTATTTTTTTTCTTTCGAATGTGCCATCATAGAAAAACAATGTAGTAAAGGGATAATAAGTGACATGTCACGGCTAATTTAATGGCCTTGTTAGTTCTAATTAGAGACAATGTGCAACTGGCATTTTTTTGCATAAGTTGCTCCGTATATAAAATACTTTCGTTATAGATTCTTTCTCAAAAGCCGCGACAATTCAATAATCAACAGCGACTAAACGCAAATCCACTACTCACTTAGAAACGATTTCTCGTGAACTGTCACATTTGCGCCAGGAATTAAAAAATGGTAAGCCATATTTGTGCTAAGCAAAATACAAGTTCTTAAAATAAAGGGTCAATGTGGACAAACACAAATGACCTCTTTTTTTAAAAATTATTTTTGTTAAAAAATCTATAAAGTTAAGACTTAAATAACACCGATGTACTCTTGAACATCATATAATACAACATGCCGTGGTTTATGGGAATATGGTGAGGAAGGGGGAAAAGGGTTCCGCGCGCGAGCCGTTCAGAATTATTCTCGGATTCGACCGGAAGGATAGACGTTTTTGCGTATATGTGACACATGTAGAAAAAGGTAAATATAAAATTTGTGCAATTGTACCGTTGACAGTCCAAAGTATGCAATTCCCGCAGCTCCCACACAGCATAACTTTTAGTTTGCTATGCCGCGTCAATCAGCACACACCACGAAGGGCCGTACTTGGTATTGAGGGGCTCCGAAAACTTGACTTGTGCCAATACTCTTACAAAACTTACAAAATATAATCAAAACAACACTATGCAACCATGTATAAACGCAATGGCATCCTATATGAGAAACATCGCCGTCTCGTCAATCTCGGTATAGTATCTAACTATGTTGCGTAGACAATGATTAGTATTACTCGCTATATATATGGTTGATTACGTATACGATGTCCAATAAACACGAGCCTATACAGAATCTCAATAAATCCAAACAAAACAAACAATGAATTGTTGTTTAAAAAAAAAAAGTCCGAATTGTCCCACAGGAACAAAGTTTTTATGTGTCTCTCTTGGTGAAGAGCTAAGCTTTAAACCCCACATTAAAAAACTAGGCAATAAATTTGTCAATACGAATTGTCCTGCATAGAATTGCATGTTCCAAAGTCTTATAATGTGGCTAACACTCTTTAAAAGCTCAAGAAATTTAACGTTTCCAGCAAACGTAATATCGTAAAGTACCAAACACACCAATTCTTTCATTCATGCAAGAGATAAAAACTTGGTCATTATTACTGAGCACAAGCTAAAATTTACAAAACAAAATTAAAAATTTCCTACAAACTTTTACTGGAGAACAATTATTTTCTCAGAAGTGGATAACCACGACTCTTTTAATGCTATAACCGTGTTCATAGAGTTTGTTCATAGTGAGTAGGTAAAATGGTCTAATGAAAAATTTCATTCATTCAATCTCCGTAACATATGGAAAGAGAGGATAACGTACAACGTACAGCGTCGATGAGGCAGTTTGTGAGCAAGGCGAAAAGCTCAGCAACAACAGCGGACAACACATACAAGAACAAGGCTTCTTTTTTTACCGCGCATGCGCACTCGCATTCCGCAAAGGTGAGTGCTTAGAGGACAGCGTGAGAAAAGAAAGCACCCTAGCTATATACGCCTGCAGATATACATGGTTTTCAATATAATAAATATCAACAATAATTAAAAAAAATTCCAATCACCATTAAAAATGTTTTACTCAATAATTATTTTTTACTCGAATACCTTTTTTCGAAAGAAAAAAAAGAAGCATTGTGATGTTCGATGAATGATTTTTGGTTGTTTTTGGCGTCCGAAACTAGGAGGAACTTTGTTACTTACTTGGCCATCAGGACTGCGTTTACTCCGCCCCTTTTCTGGTCTACTTGGGCGATCAATTGGGCCTGCAACAAACAAAAAAAACCTATCTTAATCTGCGATAAACAGCGCGCATTGGTGTTGGAAAGTATCCCGATGCTCTCCTTTAGTGCACAGGTAAACGACCTCTCGACACACCTTGGTATTATTTTCTAATATGGGCATATTGACTTCGCTTGGCCATTTTCGCAAAACGCGAGGAAAGTTGTTAGTCACTCTGTGGGTACTGACGCAACTAATTGAAAGCAGCTAACTGTTTAACCGTATAGGGTGGTTCACGTTCGCTACCTATCCAGTTAACAGTTTTGGAGGACTGAAGGACGTAGTTTGCCTGACAACTTTAGGTCCTGAGTCGTTACAAAGTAATTTAAATATGTATTACTCTGTTTATTGATATTATCTATAGTCTGTTTGTAAATAGCATGGAGTATAATCAAATTTAAGGATCGACGACTAATGTAGATGAAGAATTAATTCAAAAGCCATATAAATTAGAAAAATATTCCAGGTAGATAATGAATAAATGTTCAGGTATCAAAAATGTGGTGTAATATAACCCCTCATCTATATTCTTTAAAACATTTCCCACCAGGATCTACCTGGCATTAAATAAAAAGGGACAAATTTCAACTCCAATTTGTAAATGGGAATAATAGATGGTTTACGGTAAATAATAAGTGAAAATGCAATGAGCAGCAAAAATTTTCTGGACTGTTCCGAGCTGTACGTTTTCGATAGACTATGTATGTATTGTATGAGCAATGTACCATCAAACTGTTTCCTTCGATGTGATGTGGTCTTGTGTTATGCCTAATGGTCCAATAACATACAATTAGGGTTGTGGAAATGAGCAGACTATTTTTTTTTGCTAAAATTGACCGAAATTTTTTTAAAATACCATGAAATTTATATTTATTCATATTGTGCGTTACGTCGCCGTAAATTTAACATCACATAATAATTTATTACAAAATACATATTATTAAATAATGATAGATAACACTCTACAATTGCTAGATGTTTTTTTTTGACTAGTCAATTAAGAAGTGGTCAACTGACTAGTCCAACACTACATACAGTGTTAACTGTTCAAATGGAGGTGTTTTGAATTTTTATCGAAATCAAAACCTTAAAAAACATGTGAATTTATCACACTAAAACCGGTGGTTTCCGTTTCTGAATGTTATTGGTCGGGTTTGTTATCAGAATCGTGTTGCCCATATCAGTACATAAAAAACGTTAACGTTTACAACATAACTACCGATGGCATGTTCCGTGATGCTTTTTCATTTGGAATTATTTTTGTTAAGTTTGCCGTGAGATGGCGGTAATATGAACCTGTCAAAACATTTAAAAAAAATATCGACACTTTCGAAGACGTCGTGTGGTTATATTGAAAATAAAATGGCACAAGAAAAAACGTTGGAAACTATTTTGTTGATGCGATTGCCCGAACAAAATATACATTTATCGCATTTCCACCGTTCAAGGTCGTGGTTATGTGTGTTACGGTTCTGTGGACTTTAACCTAGTAGGTAATGAATAATGTTGAACGTTATTTTTTGACCTCTGACAGTATGTCAAAAAGCGTGACAAAATTTTCGGCACTCAGCAGACTTCCGATAGAAAGAAAATTGATGATATTATACAATCGCATCGCTTTGATTCCAATATATTGTAAATTAAAAATACTTTTAACAAATTTCTCTTGGGTTGTTCAAGTTTTGGAATGCATTTTTTGAAGGAGATAATTGGCTAGCCTGAAGTCAATCAGCTAGCTCGTCATCATTCGTGCTGTTTTGCAAAAATCTACAAGTAGAAAAGCAGTAAATTGCTAGTTTTGGTTGCTTCCTTATTCCAATATTATTTACTTTTTGGATTTCTGAGAAAATTTTTAGGTTGGCTCCTATACGAACTTTATGCACGCTCTAATTTTTATACAAAATGCTTATGAAACAGTTTAAAATTTACCTGCCTGCTTACAACTTAGAACCTATTTAAATGAAAAATTGAGCTTTTGTTATAAAACTATATAAGTATATATTTTGTTTGCATGTTTTTCCTTTTTAAAATAATTTTCTATTTTATTTCAATATTAGCAACTATTTTCTGGGTATAAACAATCATAAAATATTAAAGCATAAATAAAAACTAAATATAAACTTGACTTAGCGTAAAAAAAGTAAGTGTATATAAGGAATAAGGGTAAAAAATTACTAAAAACTGTAGGCGTAAATAGCATTTACGTATTACATTCACTTTTGTCAGTTTTTCAAATATGTTTTATTTTGTGTTGTTTTACCTAGTGTCATCGCAGAAGTCTGTCACACCATAAACATTAGACATTTATTAGTTTCGGTTCAAATATTTGAAATTGGTATACCAAATGACCAAGACCTTTCAGTTTTCTCATAGAAAATAACTAGCTTGATTTCAACTCTCTTATTAAACCAGTAAAAGTCTTAATTTTTATAAATATTAATTTATTTTATTTTTGTGTTACACGGAAAATTAATAAACCTTTGAAGTCAAGAAAACAATTTTATGTAAGTTGTCATTAACTTTAAGTTATTTAATCACATGTATATGTACTGTATATTCGTATTAGTTTATGTTTTTATTTTATGTTTAAGTCAATGTAATAAAGCAAAAATTATCTGCCGATAAAAACGTAGTCGGCGGTGATCCTTTTCATGTGACAGCAAGCGCACCAATTAATACAAATTAGAATTACTATGTGATCTACCTAAGGTTATTTGGTTAGTTTGTTGTGGTTGTGGAATTGGCACCAAAAAATTTTTTTTTAACTTATTGTACGACGTTACTTTTCAAACGTAACTAATAAACAGAATCTGGCAGCAGTTGGGAATAAAATAATGCGAATTCAGGCTCACTCTATGTTAGGGTCAGTGCACTGTTATACCAAGTCCGTCTATTTGAATTAGACGTTAGCAAAGTTTGCCGTACAAACGACGGCGCCATTAATCAAAACAAAAATGATTCAAGGCCGATTGGTTTTCATAAATATGGCTCACGAATCTGTGGCAATAGATTACGATCGGCATGTGATATCTATACTTATTTGCTGGATTATCTGCTTCTGCAGTCGCGTATGTCACGCTTTATTTTTGATTACTTTAGTTTCGGAACAACATACATAAAGTCATACATATAATTTACTGAGTGTTTCAAATAACATTTCGCTAGTTTCTAGGGTAAATTGCAATGTCTAAAAATGACGTTAGTATAAGATTTTGGCGATTGATAAAATTTTATTACAAAATTCTTTATTTTATAATTGTTTTGCAAATAATGATTATACTTTCAAAATTTCTAGCGCATGAATATTAATAATAAGTTTCGCGGTGCTTCTGCACAAAATATTCAAGTTTTGTTAGCAATTACGACTCAACAAAAAACGATTTTTGGGGTCTCTTCTCCAGAGCCATCGCCATTTTCGGACACATGTTTATTAAGCAAACTAACGTTATTTTTTCTATTTGCCATAGAAATTAGCGGAATGTTTTGAAACAGTTTTTTGCGTTTCTATCCAACATTATTTCAAACGCATGTTTTTTCTACAATAACGTGCGTTTGATCTCTAGAAACCAGTACATTGTTTTATTTTCATAAAGACAATACTAAAATCCTGTATCATTCGGACGTGTTACATATTACAGTGTAAAATCTAGTAAGGAGCTACAATTATGAAGTTTGGAATTTGGACGTTTAAAAAACAATCAAAGTGAGCCGCGGACATACATGTAGTAAAAATGTGCTCTCAAAATTATCTGGAGGCTTTTGGATCAATTTTAAGCGCACGGAATAGTCAATAGACTGCCGGCGAATGCTTGTGAAGGTACACAAATTTTAAAAAATAATTTTATGCCGGACCTAAAGAGTTGCCGCCGAAAAATTATCTTGCGCACGCCCATGGCGGGGTAACAAGTCTGGTTTGCCCGGTACTTTTCCACTCGACACCGTTTCTCGGCAACGGCTACGCGGGTGCACCTCAAGGCTAGGAACGCGAACCCACGTAATCATAAGTTGTTGATGAGCGGTAGGTAAAAGCTGTGCTTCCGAGGGGTTGCAGTTTTGGATGACGTTGACGTCACGAATATTACATCATAACGCGTCAAAGTTGCGATTCTTTTTCCGCCCTCTTAATCTAGATTCAATGGACGTACGAATAAAAAAAAACAATCGAGGAGCGAAAACGACGACGAATCACTCTCGTTTCCGAGAAAACTTTTGACGCGGCTGTACATTCCCTAAGCGTGTATTGCAAGCCTGTCCGGTTGGCAACGCGTCAACTCCGAATTCGTCCGGAAAACCGCCAAAAATTACACTTACCTTGCAAGCCCCGTGCAGGGGTGCCGACGCTTCGTTGTGTTTACCCATCTTTCGCGGTTAAATTGAAAAAAAATATATATATAGAAGATAAAATTAGAAACGTATATCACAAAATCACAGACTACAGTAAACACAGTCCTGTACTGTCAAAACGTCGGACTGGAAATGAAACGCGAAGTTCGGCGGCGAAACGTCGTCGAAGCGAAAACTGTGCGACGAAGGGGGAGGGGAAAGCCGAAGAGAGAGACCGACGATCGCATATACCGAAATGAACGCGCTCGCACCGCTCGACTTCCCCTATTTATATTTTCCAATTGTCAATATTTACTGTTGGTCCTCGACTCGTCATATTTTTTTCGCAAATCGAATTAGCGCCACCGCGGCGACGACGACGACGTTGCGAAACGATCGAAACCGCGCGTTTCCGCTTGCGCAGATTTGACAGGATTGACAGATCGCTTTTAAGGATTAGTATAGGAAGTCGCCTAGGATAACGACCGATTTATCTCGTCGACAACAATGTCTGCCTTATTACCGGTCGATATGCGAACATATGCAAATCACTTTTCGCGCAATTTTTAATAACCGCGTCGACTTCATTTGTTTCAGCGCAGACTTGACCTCGCGTGAGTGCAGTACAAGCATGCACGGGCTGGCCCGTAACATTATGGGT